ATATATACTAAAAAACATTAAAACTCAGTACCCTTTTAGTTTCTCCACTGCAGTTTCAACCAAAACGCTTCGAAAAAACAAAAAAAAAAAACACACACAGCTCCTCAAAAATAAACTTCTGTCTCCAGACACATAATGGCACAGTTGACGTTTCTTTCTTCATATTACCAAGATGGCAACTTTATTCAAATCATTAGTGGTGTGTTAATGCTAAGGGATGGGACTGTACGACAATTGTGGTTGAATTTACGCGACTCTGCGACGTCTCCGAATTATGGTGGCGGTGGTACTGTCATTACGAGGTTGCGGTGCAGACATGGAGAAAGATTTAGTTGTGATTTCAAAGTTAGTTGCTTTTTTTTAAACATAATGTAAGATCACGATTGTTGTTTTTATTGAGAAAAAAAAAACTGTGGACTTTATACAAATGAATAATAGGTTTATTGACTTGTAAGTGTGGGAGAGCCATGCTTCGGCACGAATGAGTCGGCTAGACCGGAGTGATACCACGACCTCACAGAAAGCCGCCGTGAAACAACCACAGCGTTGTATTACGCCGTGTGAGTGAGGTTAACGGAGGCTCAATCCTTCCCCTCCCATAATCCTTCCCCAAAAGGTCAGCAACGCAATCGTAACTCCTCCGTTGCGCGTACTTCATGTAATCCGTCAGCTTGTTTGCCGACCTATTACAATAACAAAAAAAAATTGATAAGCCTGCATTTCGTAGATCAGTTCACAAACGTAAATCTCTTTTGGGATAAGAAATTACTCATACATAATACAGGCGATTGCCCAACTTCTGTACCAATAGTGCAGTAAAATGTGTAACGACAAGCTGGGTTACGCATATTCTTAAATGATTATGAAGTGTCTTATAAAACTGTTGGAGCTACGCTTATTTTAAAACCTGCCCTTAATACAGTACAATTTATTTATACATATCGAACAGGATTTCTGATAATTCTATGACTCAATAAAAAAATAAACACGTCAACAAATGTAATGAGTAATTTACCACCAATATTCCAGTCATTGTTGGAATAGGTAATAATGTGCTTACACATATAGAATTCCAGAATTAATGCTTATGCAATAAATTATCTGCTGCAGCAATCGAAATTGAGCTACGGCACAAAACAGTCCAAATTGTTACTGAACCAACGCGAAAACGCAGCAAAAAAATAACAATGGACATCTCACTATTTCAAAACAATTTACTTGGCACTCATTTAGATCATAGAACGGTGATATAAGGATGCATTACACACACCAAATTGCCGTACATTAACTTGTTTTGTGGTTGGTTGAGGACATATCGTTTACAACTATTAGGTACGAGTATAGGTATAAGTAGGTACGGTTAAGTCATTAGGTATAATATTCTAATGTTAGTAAAACTTTACATAAACAAGACACTAAGGCTTTGTCTTGTGGAAATTATAGCGTTGAGCGAGAGGCACAAATCATCAAATAACTTCTATCGCTCCGTGTAAGGCGAGATGAGGCGAGAAGGAGTGTCTTACAGCCAGTAAGAGTTTGAGACTCCTTTTCACTGCCCCGTTCCATGTCGTGCTTTAGTTTGGGGGTCGCTGTACCACGAGGTGGACATCGTTACAATTGTAGGTTCTCTAAGTCCAAAGACGTCCTAGTTAACCATTCCTTTCAAAACGAGCCTATATTTAACTAATAACGTTTTTGAGATACGCTAAGATAATATGGCATGGGTTCTCCAAGAAACAGTCTAAAGGTCGACACATATCATACAAATATTAGTTGTGACCAAAGAACAGTCATGGAAAAGATTCTTTTTAAATAATAATATCAGTCTGTTGTTCTGTCAAATTGAACCATTGTGACTCATCTTTATGTACTAATATTATAAAGAGGTAAAATTTGTAAGTTTGTAAGTAGGAACTACTGGTCGGATTGCCAAAATTCTTTCACTGATAGGTAGCTACAATGTTCCTGAGTGCTATAGGCTGTATAAAATCACGCTACGATTAAATGGGGCCGAGCAGCGGGTGAAACCGCACGAGATTAGCAAGTGAGGTCACACACTTCAATGACACAAATGTAAAACTACACACAATTTACCAACTCTCAAGCAGCCATTACACATTTTTTGTCCAAAAACAATCATGTTACAAGATAAATCTTACTTAAGCGACATTCACACCTATCTTACAATCTCAATGCCACACATCAAAATCGCATTTGTTCATGTGAATCTTTGTAACAATGAATTTTTGGACTTCATTATAATGCGCTTACCGCTGTATGATCGGGCACGCTACCATAGCAGCGGTAAGACCCCTCTTTGAGGAGTGGCTTGAGAGACGCCACGGCGTCCTCACCTTCCGTCTGACGCAGGTGCTTACCGGGCACGGCAGCTTCGGTAGGTTCCTGTTTCGGATTCAGCGGGAGGAAACGCCCGAGTGTCGTCATTGTGAGGACCACCTAGAGGATACGGTGGAGCATACGGTAGCGGTATGCCCTGCCTGGGCTGAGCACCGCCGTATCCTCAGGGAAGTGATCGGCGGCGGCGACCTCTCGCGCCCGGCCTTAGTCGAGGCCATGGTGCGGAGTGAGAGGAACTGGGACGCCGTCTCCTCCTTTTGTGAAGCAGTCATGCTCGCAAAGAGAGAGGCGGCCCGCGTGAGGGAGCAATCCTCCTCCTCACGCCCCAGCAGCCGCAACTGGCGACACTACGGGCGTCGGGGATCGAGGAACGATCTCCGGCCACCGTAAGTACGGGCCTGCGGTCGGCGAGTAAGGGCAGCTCGCCGCCCGACCAGAACCAGGCCCGAGCGTACGGCGCGTAGCGTTCCGCGCGCGCCTCAAAGAGCCAATAGACCACCACAGACGGGGCCCTAAAGGGCTGATGTTCAGCCGGGGTTGCGGGGTAAGCGCAATAAGGTACCGCGACCTCGGCACAGAGCAGGAGAAGGAACAGGGGGGTTTTTAGTCAGTAAGAGTCTGACACTCCCTCCTGCCCGGCCCTGGGCGGGAGAAGTCATTTGATGATTTTCCCCTCACAAAAAAAAAAAAAAAAAAAAAAAAAAAAAAAAAAAAAAAAAAAAAACCGCTGTATGATACTCGTCATGTTGATATAGTTGATGGATATAAAATGCTTGTGAGATGATAAAATATACCTACAGTTCATACTTATATGTAGGTAAACTAGCTGTTGCCCGCGACTTTTATTTTTTGCAAAAGTTCCCGCTTTCGAGGTTTTTTCGGGATAAAAACTATGCTGGGCCCTTTTTCAAGTTCCAAACTATGTTTGCACCGAATATCACAGAAATCGGTACAGTAGTTTAGGCATGAAGAAAAGACAGACAGACAGAGTTACTTTTGCATTTATAATATTAGTTTAGATATAGATTTATCAACAGACAATAACTAGAATAGTAATAATTTGTTTTATTCTTCGAAGTAGCCAACTAGACCTTTAGAAGCCGCGCAAAACTTATACTTAGGTCAATTGCGCCCTGTTCATTTGATCATATAAAATGCCTGTAAAGTAATCGTTTACAATATTGAGATTGAAAATGGTATGCAAACTGGCGCTGGCAGTCGGTACAAGCCACGGATTAAGAACAAAGCAGTTGTCAAAATCTAAATTCATTGGCAAAAAATTTAGGCAAGGTAGAAGAAAACTTATGACAAATAAGTGACTGTGAAAACTATGGCAAAAACAACTGACACTTAAATTGAAGGAAACGACATCTGTCGACCCACCCTCTTACTATTAATACCTCCAGTAAACGAGCGCAATTTAAGAACGTCCGTCGCGTCCAATCGAATCAGCTGAAGAGAACGTAAGGCACGTCTAAGTTTTTGGTATAATTCGACAGATGGCGGTGGACATAAAATTTTTTTGTTTAAGTTGTTTTTAATTCAGTAATGTTATTTTTATGTTTTAGACCTGTCTTTTAAATTTATTAATCCGGGTAAATAGAATTAATTCCTAATAATATAATCGTACCTATATAATTGTTTCAAAGTAGATCATAGCCCGAACTGAACATATTTTATTCATCATTATTCTTATAGCATTTTCCGCCAGTCATTCTTAAAGTAGTGCTGAGATACATGTGTGGCAGACGATATGCAGGAAGTTGCGGGAGGTGAAGGTTTATATGAGTTGTACTCGTTCTACAAAATAATACCTACTAGGTACCTAATCCTAGTTCCGTCCACTGCATTCTTTTTTGTTAAGGGATAGGTCGGTAAAGTGCGATGCTGTTCTTTTGGGGATAAGGGTTTCGGATATTTAAGGATTAGGAAGGGTTGGGGAGAGGGGGAGAGATTGCTTGCTTTCAGTCACTTACACGGCGAAACACAACGCTGTGAACAGCTGGACATAGGTCTCCCCCAACTGAGCTCGACGTTGTGTGATGATGATCTCTTCTCATCCAACTACTGCCAGTTACCTAGTGGATATCGTGAAATAATCATGACTGTTTAATATTATCAATAAAATCATCCAATAATTTAGTTTTGTGTATCCAAAATGCGGTAATTCATATTATATCTAGATTATCTTACCTAACATGTATGTACATACAAACTTTACCACTAATTGCGCTTTATCAGAAATTTCCAAAAAAATTGATATGCACAGCTGAATTCAGAAAAAAATCTACATCACTGTCACTTAAAGTTGCGTTCCTATCAATCATATTTTTGATAAAAAAGCTTTCACGGTAATGGACTACCTTAAACCAATGTTATCTCGAGTATCGTGTATCGACTCTTCATGAATATCCAGTAACAATATTATGTACATCTAACAGCACGTATTTTGGTAAAATAGTGATTTTTTTGTGATACCAAAAATAATTTGTCAGATTACGAAAACAAAATTAAAGTTGACTTTGTTTTGATTGAGGATATAGAAGTCGTAGAAGAAAGTACAGGTATATTTAATGTGGATAGTTTAGATATTGAGTTGGTTGATAAATCCAATGAAATTGAATTAATCAAAATGGATGAATCAGATTTCGATGATTTGGATACCAAAGCTATTTCTAACTGGTCTCAGGATTATTTGGAACAGGTATGTATTTTAATTTTGTGATACAGCTTGAAGTAGATGTAGATGAGGACACTTGAATTTGTGTTATGCTTTGTTTTGTAAACAGATTTAATGTTGAGAAAGAGTCTCTGTTCAGAGAGATAGTATTAAAAAATCTAGTCAAAAGTCAAGGTCAAAAATCATTTATTTCAATTAGGCCACAGTGGGCACTTTTGACGTCAAGCAAAAAAGAAAAAAAATTCAATAGCTTTAAATTTACGCGTGTCAGTCTGTCTGTCTGTCCTCTAGTTAAGCCACTTGCTCGTTCCAAAGTGTAGATTCCAATGGAGAAGAACGAGCAAGAAACTCCATGGTTACTTTTTTTCAACCAGTTTTAGTCCATAGCTAGCCATTTTTTTTAATATGATAGGTCGGCAAACAAGCAGAATGATTACCTGGTGGTAAGCAATCAAACATGGACATTCGCAACATCAGAGGAGTTACGAGCGCTTTGCCAGTTCTATCGGGATTAGGGTTTCAGATATTTAGGAGATTCCCTTTTGCTATTAGATAAATAACCTTAGTTAAGCTATAGCTAAGGAACCAAAATAAAATGGACTTAAGTATAACGTATTATTTCATATTTATAATCTTTAATGTAATCAGTTTCATGAGAGTAGCAAGATCAAGATTATGTTTTTGCTATTTATGCTGCAAATAGATATACTCACAAAAGTAACAAAGAAATCAATATTCATATTGATTATTATCTGTATAGATTTCTGACCCGTCAGTAATAGCAATAGCTGTATTGATATACGCAATATATTTGCAGCAGACACCAATAACAGGAATATTCTAGAACACATCCAGTGTTTTTGTATTATAAAATCAAATCCATTCACACAATAAGATAAGATAAACTCACCAACTAATAAAACAGGATTAATTTATTTTCATATTGTTATTGTTTTAATTTTAGCTGGATACATCACAGCACAATTTCCCCAATACGTTATGGCACGTGAAACCGCCACTCGAAATAGCTTTGAAATTATCCGCCATGTTAGTGATAAGCATTACTGGAATCTTTTTAAATTCCATAATTTTGACCATTTTGTTAAGAAACAAATGGCTATGGACTGCCAGTAACTATTTGGTTGGGAATTTGGCAATGACTGATCTCTTAACACTCCTCATCTGCCCATGGTTTATGCTCGTGCGGGATTTCTACCAGCAGTACGTTTTAAGGAATTTTGGATGTCGCTTCGAAGGATTCTTACAAGGTTTGTGAAATATTATTATATAGAGATGTACAGAAACTTCTACTTTTATCATTCAATAAACAACTACAGATTGTTTAGGACAAAATTCTTATTTACTTCGTCAATCCCCGTATTCTTTAGTTAGACATCTAGAATAATGATTCGTCTTACTCGTATCAGCTAACATTACGTCGTTCATCTTAACAATTGATGGAAACCTATGATTAACGGTAAACAGCCTGCTACAGGAACCTAACATTATGATTATGACAATCGAGAAAATATTACTTATTTTTTTTTATTTTTTGGTGACAAAAGTAACTGTATTCTTTCCTTTTCAGCTTCCTTCTTATTAGCAGGCGTTTGTGCAGTCTTACTGGTGTCGTATGATCGCTTAGCGGCTGCAGCGCTATCAGCTGAAACTCGAGTAACTATCAAAGTTGCTCCTTATTTAATTGTAGCATCATGGCTTGCTTCAATGACTGTTTCATTGCCGTGGGCAGTAAAGAGGGAATTCGTGGTAAGTATGTAAAGATTCTTAAGTTAACTTTTTCAACCTTCCAAAAATCAATCTGATCAGTTGTAACAAGTTGTGTTATAAGTCTCATATACCTACTAGAAGGATTCATGTTTGGGGCAAAATTCTAGATAATAGAATTGTTACGCAAAATTTGGACAGAAATAGGAAATAGGATTGTTTTAGTATCTAATTCTTTGTCCAAGTCAGTAAACGAACTTATTCTATTGGCAAGGTAGAAAATCAATAAAATAGTTAGGTTTGGAACTTATAAGAAAGACTAATATAATTGATGAATGTACAATGTTTTCAAGGAGCGGCCATGGAAAAACTATCTGGAGATGTATTGTGTAGAAGATACAAGGGTGCTTGGCATTTATTGGCACTTTCTACTTATGTTACTGGTTTGGGCACCGCTTGGTGTAATGGTTGTAACGGTACGTTAATTTTTTATTTGTCTAATTTTCTGTACTCACGGATTACTGTAGATTTCGAGATGACAATATCATTCCTCTACATTAAACTTTTTACTTCCTCGATAGACAAGCGCTTGAAAGTTATTTGGCTCATAACGCTTCTGAAGTACTTAAACTCTTTTGAAGTACCGTCGCCTTTTGTTTTAGGCCTATTACTTTTAAATCACACATCATAAAATTTATTTTCCTAACTAGCTTCCGCCCGCGGCTTCGCCCGCGTCAAATTAGTTTTTGTCAATCCTGGTCCCTTATGTCTAAGAGACTCTTACAGGGGCCAGCCCAGGAGTACCATTCAAATTCCACACTTCTTGTGGAATTTGAAAACGGTACCCCTCTTGCTCATTGCTAAACATAAGCGGGTATTGTAGTGCGTCATAAAACTTGTGAGTGTCGGACACCCTGATCAATGTGTTATCATGGGTTTGAAAAACAATATCGCGCGATGCGAACTGTTCACCACACACCATGGCAGCGACTTCGTTTATTAAGGGTGCATTATAACGTCTTTCATGTTCCCCGCTTGGCGTACGATCTCCGAGTATTACCAATTTGTGATTTTCACGTGGCATTTTTTCTAAGGCTGTTTTGAAGGTGTTAATGAGGTTATTATGTTCGTGCAACATTCTTTGAATTTAAAAAAAAATGTCCCTCTCGACTCCTTCATTATTTTGCCATCAACGGTCAACCTCGCTGTTTTCGTCTCCCATAAAATCAATCAGTAGAAATTTTGGCTATTGTTTGTGGAAAGCAAAGAATCAATCCTATGATAAACTTGCCCTTGTACCGTAAATGTGGGTGAAAATCCAGGCATGATGACAGGAAAAATCGCCGAGATTCATTGCTGTCCTTTCTTCTGTCGTTGCTCGGGGTCACCAAGGGTTGGTACTGAGACTTTGCCTCCAGAACAGCACATACCTAAGGTCTCTTCTTTCCACTTGAGTGCCTTTAATGGCCATTCTACCTGTGAGGACTAATCGATGATTAAAGTAATTAAGTAACAGATCATAATTAAAAGCAGCATCGGCAAATGCCTCCCACGTATTCATCGTAAACGTACGTCTCCGTTCTGCTTGCCGCTCGGCATTAATTAAACGTCATCTACGTGTTTCTTCGGAGGTCTCTGCGGCTATGTACAAAGCTTGACGCTCAGCATCTAAGATTTGGTGAGCTTGGGTCTTTTGAGAAGTCTCAGCAGCTCTTTGATCCGTGTGACGCTTTGCATCAATGATTTGGCGAGCTTGGGACTGTTGAGACGTCTCAGCAGCTCTTTGAGCCGCGTGACGCTCGGCATCAATGGCTTGGTGAGCTTGGGTCTGTTGAGAAGTCTCATTCCAGTGATCTGGCAAGTTTAGCAGCCCGAACTCTGCTAGAGCTTTTAGCTAAATTGGACTTTCGTTTGCGAGGCATCGTAGAACAACAAAAATGAAATGAATCGAACAAAACAGATGTACAGATTAAGATTAATTATATTAAAAAAGCTTTGTTCACCCTTCCTGCACCTACTTGCATAAGTACTCATTTACAACCAATGCAAACAAGTATGATGCTATTAGATTAATTGAATAAAAAAAGGAAATAAATGCAAATCGTATTTATTTTAAGTAACGGAAACTATCTTACCTACTTATAACGTTGTAACTATGAACTAAAAGAAATATTAAGTATGTGCAAAATTTATTTACAGGATCCAATGAATAAAAAAACACTTAAAAAGTTAGACGAAACAATAAAATAATTTTACTGGTTCGAAAAATGTAATTCTCTAAAGCGCAAATTTCTCTTATCGCACCCGACAACGACCTCTGTCCTCACGTGTCTGTCCGTTCGGGTATCTCTACCAGTTAGATTCGTGCGCTTCCCCACCACACGACAGCGCCGAGCCGCACTTCGGCAAATGTGCGCGACGCCGACGGCAGCGACGGCGATGCAGAGTGTTTATTAAAAGGAATTTATACTTCGAAAGTATTTTGTAACTTGATACACCCAAAACTTCTAAATTACATGTTCCTAGGTTCAATAGTTAAGATTTCGTATACTTACCTACATAAAGGTTGGCTTTGTAGATCCCGTTCCGAATCCGTTCCGGGTCTTATCTTCAATTCATCCCCTATTTCACTACATATCCATACTACATATACACTAATAAAATTTTCAAAATGCTAGTACAAACGATTTTTTGTTTCTTATGACGTCATATTTGACGAATTTGAATTGCATACTAACTTTCAACCCTTATTTCTGTACCTTCAGTGAAAAGTGATACATGTCGACCCAGATCGGTTTTTATATTCCCTGATTAAAGTTATTAAAAAAAAATTAACTTAATTTCAATCTTATCCCCGTTGTTATAAGATTAAAATTGAAAGAGTTTATTTTGTGTTCATTGATATAAGTAAGCAATTTTTTATCGAAATTATTGAGTAAAATAATACTTTTTGATTCATAACAAAGTGCTCCGAAGCGATCTTTATATTTCTAAAATGTATTTTAATACGACTCGAGTTACCACATCTTACGCGAAGCGTAAGCTTTTACTTCAAATTATCCAAAGTGATACAAATGAAATCCTATCACAAAACTTTAAAAAGTTTAAACAATACATTCTAGTGAAAAGTGGTACATTTGTACATGAACCATACAAACACAAATTTATTTTCATAAAAATATGTGACTAATGATACAACTACTAATCAAACAATTTACACGTTATTTATGTAGCCAATTTTGATGTGATTACAAATTTAATATCAATTCTATTTGTAAGAACATAAGGGAAATAAGATACATGGTTACGTGAATAATGATATTATTATAGTAGAATCAAAACTGCAATGCGTTTTAGAACTAAATTAGCAAAAAATACAAAGTACCTAGTGATACAAGTCGCGCAGCTCTTACGCACCCCGCTTCCCCGCGGGACAGAGCGCGGGCGACGCGGGACGCGGGTTCTTTAGTCTCGGGCGTGCGTCAGGACAGGTGCGTCGTGCGTTACAGTACACAACTACGATGCGTAAGGTAAGACTTGTATCATTTCATTGTACGCTGTAGCTACCTTAATATGTTATGCAACTAGCTTGAAACTTAATTCCCACCTCGTCGAGCAGCACAATGGGCCGGTACGCGGACGGAGAGTCCGCAGTACGCCCCGGCTTCTTCACGAGGACCAGTTTGCCTATCTTCCACGACAGCGGAAACTGGCCCCTCTCCAAGCATGCGCTGAATAGACCAATTAGTCGAGGCCTGAGAGCCTCCGAGGCCAGGACCCAAACCTTGGCATGCAGCCCGTCAGGTCCTGGGGCGGTATTCTTGGAGCCGGCGCACCGCCACTCTCAAATCTACCTCGGTCACTTCCGGAACGGGTTCACCGTCGTCGTCGTTGTAGCCCGCATTGGGCACTGCAGTGGGCGGAGACATAGTGGGAGGCGTGTAACCTATCTGTGGTCGGGGGAATAGCGCCCCAAGCACTTCGTTCACGACCTCCGGCCGGAGACTCTGAGTCAGTGGGGGCGCCCAGGTGCGGAGCTTATCACGCACCATGCGGTAGGGGCGTCCCCACGGGTCTCTGTTCAGAGTCTCCAACATCTCCTCGCGGGCCCGATCTTTGGCCCGCCGGATCTCCACTCTTAGGGTGGCCTTCGCCGCCCTGTACTCCTCGTACAGCTCCGCCTCTCTGGTTTCAGCGTCCAGAGGGCGGATACGGAGCCTTCGGTGCCTGGTATATCGGCGTCGCGCTGCAGTGCACTCACCACGCAGAGCAGCCAGCTCCTGCGACCACCAATACACCTAGCGCTTGCGTTGGCACGGCCGGATCCGGGGCATCGCCACGTCGCACACCCTGGACATGGCGTCGGCAGGACTGACCGGTGGTATCACCCAGGCCTGCACGACTGCGGCTTCCAGAAAGAGCTCCCGGTCCAGTTGCCTAAGCGCCCAACGCGGGCCAATCGGGGCCTGTCTGACTGGCGGGTCTGCGGACTCGGCGGAAACGTCGAACCGTATATACGGGTGGTCCGAAAACGTCTCCACCTCCTCCATGACGCGCCAGTCGCCAACGCGTGATGACAGAGCTGGGCTAGCAATCGAAATGTCCCCCACTGACTCGCCCCGCATCCGTATGCACGTGGGGACAGAACCCCGTTTCAGCACGACTAGGCCTGTCTCCAGAGCCCAGTCTTCGACCATCCTTCCCCGGACATCAGTGACCCGGGAACCCCATGCCAAATTCTTGCCATTGAAGTCCCCGAGGACCAGCACGGGGAGGGGACGGAACCCGACGACGACGGTGACTAATTCCCTGAGGGAGTTGTGGAACTCGACGAGATTTCGGTTCGGAAAGAAGTACACGCCCACCACGGCGATTTCTCCGAACCGAGCCGCGACGCAACCCCTGCCTCGCTGAGGCCCTTCGGGGGTTGGGGTACCGGTGGCGGCCGACGAGATGATGGTCACCGAGCCGTCCAGGTCTGACAACCAGTGTTCCCTGGGTGGAACGAAGTACGGCTCGGAGACCACAGCAACATTGATCGACCACTGCGCCATGCTCTGGAGCAGGAGATCCTGAGCAGCGGCGCAATGGTTGATGTTCGCCTGCAGGAGGCGTAATGGAGCCATTATTGGCAGTCCATCACGACCTCCTCTCTGGCACCAGCGACAGCAGCAGTCGCGGAGGCGGTGGCGACTGTGTCTGTATCAACGGGAACGGCGGGGGCAGTAGAGGCGGCAGAGGGCCTAACTTTACCCCTGGGCTTGGCGAAGGGGAGCAGGTTTTGCCCCCAACCCGGTGATCGGCCGGCTTACCAGCCGCAGCACATACTACGCAGTGCAGCGGAAGCAGCGGCCGCTACGGTCTACCTCCGAGGTGCATTTGGCACCCACATGGTAACCAATGAGGCAACGATAGCACCTCAGAGGCCGGGGCTCAAGCAGCTTCACCTGCGCCGAGACCCAGCCCACCAGGAGTCTTTTGCCCTCCGACAACTTTTTTGCCGCTGTGACGGGGCAGCTGACTACCACAGTCCGCAGCCCCGTATTGTCCGGGCGGATGGTGTCTGCCTTCACCTGGTCCACAGGACACTCCCCCTTCCTGGCAACAGCGGCCGCCACCTCATTCTCCGTCACAGAGTCGTCCAGGCCCATGATACTTAGCTCCAGGCATTTAGTGGGCCTGGACACGCGAGGCTCGTCCGCTGCAAGGCACGCCCTGAGCTTCTCGGCTAGGGCGTCAGCGGACGACCCGCTGGCCGCGCCGGGGACCTCTAAGAGACGGGCTCCAGTGGCAGTGACCCTCACTGCGAACCCGTCGGGTGCCCCAAACTCCGCAGGAGATACCGCCACCTTCAACTTTTTAAGTAAGTACGTCCCCGTACGTCACCCCCTTATTAGCCGCATCCGGCTGTAGTGTGATCACTACAGCCGAAGATTTGGGGGCGAGGAGCATTGCCGCGGCGCGCTTGTCCTTGCGCCGCTGCTGCCGCCGTTGCCGCTGCTCTTTCTTGCGGCGCTTCCTCGCCTCCTTAGCGACCCTCCTCGCTTCCCCGGCCACCTGCCACTCGCCATCGGCACACAACTCCGATGGGGTGGGCGGCGCTCTGGTTGGAGCTCTAGCGGAGCTCTGCACCCCTGCGCCTGCGACTCATCGGCGCCGAAGCTGAAGTTGGAGCTTGCGCTGTCAGAGCCGCAGGTGCCGCCTTCGGCGCTTTCGCCGGCGTAGGCGCTTTCGCCCCCTTCTTCGCCGGTGCCTCAGCCAGAGCGCCGCAGCTGGTTGAAGGCTTTAATTATATTAATATCTGATGTTTAATTTTTGGAGACTGATTTCATAAGATTAAAGCCTGTTCAAGATTAGTTATAAAAATTATGAAAAGTTATTTTCTTTTTATAAGAAAATTATATTGATTTTTGAGACTGATTTCATACGATTTAAGACCGTTCCAGAATAATGATAAAAAGTTATGTATTTTTTATAAGAAATTTATATTAATATAAGATGTTTGATTTTTGGAGACTGATTACATACGATTTAAGACTGTTCAAGATACAAAAGTAAAAGAATTGTTTGTTAAATAAACGCTTTTTTAATTTAGCTATTATTTTATTTTGCTATAAACATACTTTTACCTATTTTTGTAACAAAACCGTTTGAAAATAGTTATTACTTGTATCAATAAACACTTCGATATAAACAAAATGTATCAAAATAAATTTTAGCTTGTAGCATTAATCATTGGTGTTTAGGGGTACAATTGAATATTTACGTAGGAATTTTAAATAAAACAATGAAAAAAGGTTGCTGATAATCAAAATGATCATATTAGCTTTACCACTTTTTCTCACAACAACTATTTGCACGCAAAATATGCCAAAACACAAGCCTTATAACATTTTACACAAAATGATAACTAAATGTGTAAAATAATTCATTGCATTATACATTTAAATACACAAAAATAAGCAAAGAAAACTAAAGTGTACGGTGATATAACTGGCTATTTTTACTAATTACTTAAATTCCGTGCAAAATAATTTATTTAAACCAAGCTCTTTATAATCTTTATAATATTATCTACACGTACCACATATCGCTTTTTATTTCAGAACGTTAGAAAAATAACGAGATTTTTTTAAATCTTTAACCTTAAATTACTCGTAACTATGATTTTCCACTTATATCACTTTTCACTGAAGGTACAGATTTCACCCACTAGCTGGTCGAAATTTCAAAAATGCTAGAACAAATATTTCATATTTTCTTATCAAGTGCTTAAATACTAAGTTTTATGGTTTTATCTTTAAAAATTACGAAATCCCATACAAACTTTTAAACCCTATTTCAACCCCTTTATCCCTGTTTATCGAAAAAAAAAAGTAGCCTATGTTCTGTCTCAGGGTCTAAAGATTGTCTGTACCAAATTTCATGAAAATCAGTTTCGAGGTTTAAGCGGGAAAGCGTAACAGACAGACAGACAGACAGAGTTACTTTCGCATTTATAATATTAGTTAGGATAGTTAGGATTAGGATTATATATTTTTAAAATCTATTTTCAACAGTACGGTACAATAATGTGGCGTTTGGAATGGAGTGTCCGTGAGCTCGCAGCTCGTGGAGGAGGTCAGTCCATTGCCAGAGCCAGGACTAGGACCTTAAGGATTACTGCCTGCGTTCTTCTAGTCAGCCTGATATGTAGGATTCCATTCACTGCGCTGATATACTGGAGAAACAATTTGGCTCCCCAGATTAATTCGGTAAGTAACGTCCTGCAAATGAAATAATAGGTTTTGAACGTGATAGAGGAGGCAAACGAGGTAATGCGTTACCTGATAGCAAGTAATTGTGCGCAAATCACGCTCATCTGAGCCAAAAAAGGAGTTGATTTGATATCTATTTGGGGTAGGTGATGGGAAGAAACTGGGCCCTCCCGTTTTGTCACTCAAACTTTGAAACACATTGCCTTTTACTTGTGCCGTAATACCCCTACTTTAAATTATAATGTGAACGATTTTGTTTATTAAAATATAATGCCAGCATTTTTTACGTAGAATGAGTACTTAATATTTTCTTTTTCAGGCCGATGGTGGATTCCAGATTATGTGGTTTGCTGCTAACTACCTCATGTACTTGAACTGTGCTATCAATCCTCTTATTTACGGCTTCACTAATGCAAGGTTCAGGAAAGCTATGGACAGGACTCCAGGCATTGCCTGCTTTAAGTTTGGGTCTTGGTGCTGTTTGTGTGATGTGGTGAGTATAATTTCAAGGATTTTCATCATTATTAGGCATCTCCTGTTAAACAAGTTTAAAGAAATACAAGTCGATTACGTCTATCTACTTTGGTTATTTTTTTGTAAATAAAGGTTTTATTTTTATAATTAAAGTGCCTGAATACTAAATTTATCGAAAATAACGATTTACTCGTGAGCAACGTGCATGTTGTCCCCACGCGAGCGCTGCTCATAAATAGCAATTGCATTATAACTTTTTTTTTATGTATTAAGTCGGCAAACGAGCTAACGGATTACCTGATGGTAAGCAATCAGCGCCGCCCATGGACACCCGGAACGGAGGAGTTACGAGTGCGTTGCCGACCTTTTAGGGATTAGGGATTTGGAGATTTAGGGATTGGGGAAGGGTCCGGGAAGGGGAAGGATTGGGCCTCCGGTAACCTCACTCACACGGCGAAACACAACGTTGTGGTTGTTTCACGCCGGTTTTCTGTGAGGCCGTGGTATCACTCCGGTCGAGCCGACCCATTCGTGCCGAACCATGGCTCTCCCACGTAATGCTAGTAGAGCCTTATCTCAGTTAAGTACTTTTGACCATTTGGGTCTGTCTTCCTTTTCAAAATCAAAATCTATAAAAGAGAACAGATTATGCTAGCTTCTCTATCTCCATAAAATAGACTCTAAATAAAAAAGTTTGGATACTATAAGATATAATCATTATCTTGATTTAATCGTTCATGTACTCTGTAGATAAGATACACTGTTAGTACGTACTGATTTACGTTGAAAGCTATCAATGAGTTTGTTTACATTTCACTAGTCAAAGATAAATTCATGTTTGGTACTAGATATTCTAAATGAATATGGTTTATAAATAACTGAACTGAAATAACAACTCTTATTTGCATGTGGACCCTTAAAAGAAAAAATCTTGCTCTGATATCGAATTTCAAATTTAAGTCTCAAATTTTCTGTTCAAATAATTTATTACAAAAATAAATGATTTTATTTATTTCCAGCCCGCGAAAAAACGTGACCAAGCCCAAGAGAAACATACGGAAAAGATTTTCGTAATTGCACATTCACCGAAACCACACAAGAAGATTTCGAAAGCGATTAAGAATATACTTCATATCAAGAAAGATACTTTGGATTTCAGTATCAAAGTAGACGAAGCTACAACAAAACCTACAAAAATAACGCCAGTGAAAACTGAACCAGTTCTTGAAAATGGAAAGATATAAAACTTAACAGAAGATTTTAAGTTTTAGACGTTAATTGTTCTAACTGAACCGCCTTATATTGCATCTCCAATAGAAACATGAAAAACGAGGATTTTAAAGCGAATTCTCCATATATTACTTTTGTTCTGGTCTAACTGAAAATCAGTGTTGGGTGCTCCGTGCCCAGCTTTTGCTGAGTTGGCGACCCATTCGGATTGGGCATGTCTGCCAACCCAGGGTTGTATTATTGTATTTTGTTAGGCTGTTGTCACGTTATTGTTTTGATTAATTTTATTTTTATTTTATTTTGTTGTCCTGTTACTTCAAACTTTTATTGTTTTGTTTTTTTATTGTTGTATTTTTTTTTTGTTTGTTCTTGGCCTTCATGTCTCCGTCCGAATAAAAACAGTTTTCTTTCTTTCTTATTTCTTTTCTAAGCATTCGTAAGGAGTGTGTTTCCTCCGAAGGGCATAACGTGGGTGTCTTTAAGGCCTTAGTGAATAGTTTGATTATTTGCAGGCGTGGTCCATCATAGGTCGCATCATCGCTTATCAACAGCCGAGATACTGTCCCCCATATCTAGCTATTTTTTTTATTTCCTATTGTTAATAAAAAAACATATATTATCATCATTCCATTAATCATCAATCATATAAGTGCTAATTTTAGGAATTTACCCTAAGATAGTAAGTTAAAGTAAGCTTTTCCGAAAATCCTACTATTGTTATAAAAATCATGTCTGTACACATATATTTTTTAAAAATAATGTGTGTAAATACTTTATACTCTTCTTTCTCTAGTAAATTTATCGAATTTTAGTTTTAATTACTATTATTACCTTTTTTATCGTGTTTTTTTTTTGTAATATGTGCATAATACTATGTTAAGAAAATAATTGTTAAAAATAACATTATTATATTTAATCTCGAAAATGATGTGTTTTTTATTTGTAAGTACATAATTATCCACTCGAAAGTTTGTAAATATTTTATTAAACATCAAAACCAACTCACAAGATCATACAAATAGGACACATTTTTCAATACACATTGTCACACTTGCAAAAATTTAATAATTATTAAGTATTCATAAATAAATTGGTTACTAATATGTATTTAAGTTTCAGCTGCAGTGGTATCTAGAAGATTGGTTAGTTCACTGATCTTCGCTTCAAGAATAGTCTTCATGTGTGCTTCTACTTTGAGTATGTTTGTAGCCTCTTGGAGTAGCACCAAGCTTTCCATCAGCTCATCCTGGAAAAAGGCATTTCGAATGTTTAGCACTTTATCGGTTCATACAGTCACATCAGTGAACATACGTTGACCTCGAAACCGCCTCAGTTCCCTACCACATAAGAGCTGTTTTCTTAGTTCAAATGGGTTCGTAGAACACTGAAGTGCGGGTGACTGTACTTTATAATCGTTAAAAAATATTAATTAACATAATTATGCTTTTGGAAATAAGTCAAAATATTTACTAGGAAGAGAGGAAGTACAATAAAAAATGATGTTGATTTTTTCAATAACATGAATTATTAAAAGATAGCAACATTTTCATTGATGATTTGGCATTTGGCAATAAGTATGTCAATTGATGTAAAAACATTATGGTGTCATATTGAGTTACGTGCTGTCGTAAATAGCAATTACACACAATTACAGAATACATAGAAAAGTGTCGGTTTTTAAAATTCTTTAAAATAATTGAATTTGGAAAGCCTGTATGATGATTCTGGAAAGGATCTGATGTACCAAGATTCTTCATAAAATAGTTCAAGAGCGTTACTATAAAAAGCTTAAACAAATATATGTGAGCTAAGTCTGTGAGTACCTTACACTGCGATTTGTACTAAGAAGTAAAAAGGATTTTAACTCAATAAATTCTATGAAAAATAAAATAAATATTCATTTCTTTTAACACAGAAAAACGTATCAAAAATGTTACATCCAATATAAAAGACATAATCATTATTTTACGACAAAGTAATGTTCGAATAATTTCTGTACACTTAAAAAACACACTTCATTTATAAATTCTCCAAAGTAATATTGCAGTACAGTAACAACAAAGAATCAACTATCAAAACAAGCAAATATCACCTTTATTTAAATGATTATATCATTTTCATCATCAGTGCAATAATAAATATATAGGACGCGTTGTCAACAACCTCACAGTTATTTTATTTGGCTATCATCCAAATTGTATCAAATGTATTGCAAGACAGAATGTAGGCTATTATTATTATAATTATTTTGTACAAGCTTTTGACCGCAGCTTCGTCTGCATAGATTTAAAGCGAGTTTTGATAATCGATTATTAAAGTAGGAGAGTTGTGTTTCGCCACCAATGAGTCGATTCGACAAAAGTCATACCATGGTCTTTAAAAAAAACAATCAACGTGAAGGCCCAAATCTCCCCCCTATCCCTAACCAACTTAAGATCGTCAAGGCACTTGCGACTTCGAACAACAACGTCTATCTCCATAGAGATTACAGCAGTAAGCTTTGGAATAACAAGTAGAATCTCATCCTAAATTCCGTAAAACAATGTATATTTCTAGATTAGACAAGTCTATAGACCTATAATAATATATGCCTATGACCTTTTCCGCACTGCCAACTATTATTTACAGTCTGTACATTTTTTTGGTATGCAGGAAGGAAAATAAAAGTTCATTTAGTAGATCAGAGACAGTGACCTTTCGTTGGCTACTGAGCTCACCAATAGTTATCAAAGATATACCTAGCTACTTCATTACGAGCCACGTAATTTTGAAATTCTGTCGCTGTACCAACATTTTTCTGTACACCAAAAACTGTCACTAAGTACGTACGCTAAATTACAAGAAGATTGATTGGGTATGTATGATGCATTAGCAGTTTTGTTTTTTGAGGTGTAATCATCAAAATATGACTTCTCTCGCTCACGGTGGAGCGATAGGACGAGTCAGGCTCTACTGACTAAAAACCATCCGTTCCTTATCCTACTCCAGGTCGAAGCCACACTACCTATCAACAGGTTTAGGCACAAACTTACGTACGCATTTATAGTATTAGTTAGGATAGATGAAAATGTTACATCACAATTATAATTATCTGTTGAAGAATAGATCGGAATGTTTTATTTAGTGGGTGTTTAAAGATATAGCTTCTCGTGTAAATGTAGCAACACCTAAAAAAATGTAACACCCATAACAGTTTTTTATTGATATAAGTGAAAATGACCTTCAAGTTTTTTTTTGTTTGAGCTATGCCTCAAATGAATAAGAGCCTCTAGCATGGCTTGAAATTACTCGAGCTATCTCGACAAACAGTTACGTGAGTAAGTCGAACAAAATAATTCACAAGCGTTATTTTAGAATTAAAATATCGTATTTTCAGAATGCAGTGTTATTAATTTTGAAAAAAACCCTCAGCGATGTGGCGAAAAGTTTAACTGTATTGTACTTGGATATTGATATTGAATTGTGAAAAAAAGTCAACAAATATTGAAATAGCTATACAACCCCCATCCCTATACATTCCATTCATCAGTTATCAAATCTCTAACCCCTAAAAGGCCGGCAACGCATTTTTAACTTCTAAAATATGTTGTATGCGTCCATTAGCAGGGCCGCGTTACTTACAATTGAGTGATGCTTTTGATCTACCATAAAATTCAACGAAATTAAAATGTACTTTACTGAAAAACTTATTGTACCTGAGCAGCAGCCTTCGTAAGTTTTCCAGTTTCAAATTCTCTCTTAGTCTTCATTGTCATAGCAGCTTGCAGTTCGAGAAGAAGCTTCCCTCTGAACTTAGTCCATCCTGGCTCTAGTTTATCAGCTATCTCCAATAACTCATGGCAGAGGTCTATCTTCCTTCTGAGGATTGCATTTGGCAGTTCTGGAAAAAATATGCTATAATTTAGATTTGTTCTCAGCATAATCTACAAATTACTGATCCTGGTCTGCTGGTATATTTATTTTCTAATTCTTATAATTTAGGGGGATTAATAGGGAGGGGTGCCAAGTTTCAGGAATTGTTTTTTTTTTTTGAAAATACGTTGCCCTTTACTTTAGGATTTTCGCCTGTGTTGTGGGTGCGTTTACAAACATACAATGTCACGTACACATGACACCCAGACCCGAAACAACAATTTGTGGATCTCACAAAGTGTTGTTCCGTGCGATTAGTTGCCCAGCCACCGCACCAACCGTGCAGTTTTGTTGCACTCATACTAACTTCAGTATCAAAAGGATATATTGAATTATTGAGATTATACATATATTATTATTTAGTGCATGGTCGTATCTTATTGCAATTCTTTCAATGTGAAAATGAAGCAAAGCATGAAAGTTATTTGATGATTAATCAAAATCATCAGAATGACCTGACATTGTCATGTTTTGTATCAGAAGTAATGGTGTTAGATTTCTCAATTTCCAAAATATTGTTTACTGGAATTCTGCCCAACATTGACGACAAGGTTTTTTTTTTTTTTTTTGTGAGGGGAAAATCGTCAAATGACTTCTCCCGCCCAGGGCCGGGCAGGAGGGAGTGTCAGACTCTTACTGACTAAAAACCCCCCTGTTCCTTCTCCTGCTCTGTGCCGAGGTCGCGGTACCTTATTGCGCTTACCCCGCAACCCCGGCTGAACATCAGCCCTTTAGGGCCCCGTCTGTGGTGGTCTATTGGCTCTTTGAGGCGCGCGCGGAACGCTACGCGCCGTACGCTCGGGCCTGGTTCTGGTCGGGCGGCGAGCTGCCCTTACTCGCCGACCGCAGGCCCGTACTTACGGTGGCCGGAGATCGTCCCTCGATCCCCGACGCCCGTAGTGTCGCCAGTTGCGGCTGCTGGGGCGTGAGGAGGAGGATTGCTCCCTCACGCGGGCCGCCTCTCTCTTTGCGAGCATGACTGCTTCACAAAAGGAGGAGACGGCGTCCCAGTTCCTCTCACTCCGCACCATGGCCTCGACTAAGGCCGGGCGCGAGAGGTCGCCGCCGCCGATCACTTCCCTGAGCATACGGCGGTGCTCAGCCCAGGCAGGGCATACCGCTACCGTATGCTCCACCGTATCCTCTAGGTATTGACGACAAGGTTAAGATATTAATTATAATTTCACTGATTAAACGCTCATCATTAGTTTCTCTACGTATAAATCTGAAATAACTTTCAGAAACAGCATTCTTGTCTATGTTCCAATTAAAATATGTATAGAAATAATAATATAGATATCTTTTAGATAATATTTTACTTCTTATAGCTTAAAAACTTTTTGTTACATCATAAACAAATAAAAAAAGTTGCAGATTGAAAAGACAAATTGGATAATTTTCTTATTGAAAACCATGGTAAGGATGTATGAATGGAAAAGCTCCAAACCAGATCTGTATAAAATTTTCCCTACAAACTGAGAAAAAATTATCCTAATCTATACTAATATTAACAACAACAACAACAACAGTAACACTTGTAAGTTTGTATGTAGGGGGTAATCTTTGGAATCGCTGGTCGGATTTCTAAAATTCTTTCACTAATAGATAGCTACAATTTTGCTGAGTGCTATAGGCTATAACACTAGTATAAAACATCACGCTACGAGTAAATGGGAGCCGATCAACGGGTGAAACCGCGTAGAGTAGCTAGTGAGATTATAATTTGAAAACACGCACCGGTTAGCAAATAGCAAAATAATTAGTCAAAACATAATTTTTTTCTTTAGAAAGTGTTCTAGTGACTTATTGTTACTGTTAAACTTTGATATATTAGTTAGTTTACAAGCGGTGCTGAGTTCGCCGGATAGCATATATGTAAATAAGTTTTTCATCTCAATGTTCATTTGAAAATAGAAATATGATACAGAAAACTGTTAAAATCTGCAATCAGCTTTAGCATTGTTCACAATCCACATATCAATGACTAAAATAGACTTAAAGAAGTGTACCTAGCTATTAGTCTCGGACGTATCATGTTTATCAGATTTTTACATTGTTTAAAAGCGTGGCTGAGATTCTTATTGTTTTTATCTATCTTGTTAGTTCGATGATTTAAAACTAATCAAATGTAATTAGGGTTAACAATTCGAAATATTAATAAACGTTACTCTCTGGATCTATTTTAACAACAAACACTATACCTGTCAAGCTATATCCTTTATAGTTCCCATAAATTTGTACCAATGCCAACTTGGCTTGTACTACTAAATGGTTGCTAGGATGTAATGTCTGGCTGTACTTCTCAATGAACTCTTCAAACTGATTCGGATCCGTCTTATTCAGTCTCTGAAGATCTTGTTTCAATGCGTTATTTCCCCAGACCATCTGTTTGCTCAAAATACAATGTTCGCATTTCTCACATTTCCATGGCGCGGTTTCGTCCAATGGATTTGTTGACAACAACATAGCACCACGCGATTCAACATTCGGAGCAAAAGCACTGTTGCAAACTGAACAGTAAATGTTCCCTAAATATGTACCAAATTCTGTTGGATCCTTGCATCTGTCACATTCACAATCAAAGTATTTGTTCGTCTGCAAATGCTTCCGCCTATCCAACGTTCCCCATAAACTCTGAGTGTACATCGTCGTTATCAGATCACCTTTAGATATAGGCACGGTCGCTATAATAGCCATATGGTAATCTTCACCTATAAATATGTGCCTCGTATTAGCTTTACAGCTATGGTCCATCATCGAAGCTGTCAAATAAATAGCCCGCAGTCTTGTAGACCCATCCGGTGATCTTACATCGAAAGCGTTAGTATCAAATATAGAAGCGACCTTCAATATTGTTTCTTCATCGAAAGGCAATCCAAGCACTTGAACTATAAACGTCACCAAATTAGCCTTTAATACTGTATACAGAGGGGTGTTTATCCTGTCTTCCAAATGCGACTCAAGATTCATTATATTTTCATATTGAAGTGGGTTAGACGTACTCATCAATAACACTCTGAGAGGCGAAATAACACAGTAGGCCGCTTGAATCTTATTTGGGCCTTGGTATTTTATATCACATTTATATTTCCTGTCTGTCATGGCTTTGCACTCTGGTTTGTGAACATCAGCAGCTTCGCACTCGGGGCCACACATCGGCCAGTTGCACTTTGAACATTTGTAGTAATCCCACTTGGAGTTGACCTCTGGAGGGTCCAGGTTTTTACCGCATGACAAACAGATAGTTGGACACGAGATCCTTGGTCCTATGATGGCAGGTTTCTCTCTGAGGATCATTTCACCTTGTTGTATGTCTCTTGTGGCGACCATGTGTCGTCCCAGTGTATCTGAATATTGAATCTTGAAGGCGCAGCATTTGAACTTGTGACCTTCTCTCCATCCTAGTTTTTGGTGAGGTCTGGAGCAGTAATATACCAGCTTGCACCCTCCACAGATCTGGTTCGCGGGTTGTTGGCACACCTCGCAGGTCGGCATCACGGGATTTTAAGCCGCTGACTAGGCCGCGGTGCACGCCCGCTCCGCTTGCTATCAAACACAATACTCGTTCTAAATAGACACACATAATTAACAAGACTGTAAAGATTCGGGAACAGTGCCAACAGTGTTGAGTATTAATGCTATTGTAGAACATACGGCTACTCTTTGAATACTAATTATAATATTAATAAATTAATTTAGGAATTCCTATAGAGTATCGTTGTCTTTTATCTAGATGTCATTAGAAATGAAATAAGACTCCTATTGAAATTTTGTGTAAATTTTTTAGCTTATTGTAACAAATTTTAATGAATCCAATATATGTATTTTCTGCGTAAAACTGTAAAAGTTTATCTACCACATGTAGGTCAGTACAGATTATTTTTGCTATTCCGGCTGTCATTCTTTCTTTCTTGCCTATCTTTCATCGATCAATGACGTCTCGTATTGTTTTTGAATGGGTTCCAAAATGGCGCGTACTAAGCGACCTTTCGATCGGTGAATGAAAGTTCGAACTTAAATTTAAATCTTCATTCAATTAAAAGACTATTATAGAAAAGTAATTCAAATGAAAATATGTAGGTATCAGAATAAAAACTAGTTTAAATAAATGAAGTCCTATATACAACATAGTTTAACAATCTCCGGAACTACTTTTTGTGTTTATTTAGTCCATTTATTGAGGAAGGCTATAGGTTATAAAACATCACGCCGCATCAGCATATGTAGGAGCCGAGCAGCGAGCATTATAATACACTAGCTACTGTACCGCGGTTTCCCCTGCTGCCCGGCTCCATTTCATCGTAGCGAGATGTTTTAAAGCCTTTATAGCCTATAGCACTCAGGAACATCGTAGCTATCTATTTCGTTTTACTGAATTAGGTATTAGAATTCTTAATTGTTGTTCAGATCAGATAAGAATATTAATTTTTATTTGTTCCTAAGCATACCCATATTATTAAAAGAAGAAATTATTCTTCTATCTTAATTAAAATCGATATTACAAGACATTATATTTTCTATCTAACAGTTAATATTTAGAAATGTTAGCTGGTCAGGCAAATTTAAACAAAACAAGGAGTTTCATGGTAAAGTAAGAAATATTGGGATTATAATAATAAAAAAATGAAAACGAACGTGTATAACAAGTCTTAGAACAGGCTGAGATGAGAAACAGCTGTTATGGTGTGGAACAGAAAATTTGGCATTACAGCTTTTGGCTTCATAGCATGCAGGCCATCCGACGGATACAAAGCTGTAAGTAATATTATGAGTATGAGTGAAAATAAACATAAAGTAGATGAACTAAAATCTTTGGATAATTTATAAAATTTAATTAGTTTAAGTTTAAAAATAAAAATAAAAAAGTGAATTTGTGGTGACAATGTTTTTTTAAGAACACACCAAATGCTTCGATTGGAACTAGTAAATCTAACAAATAGGGTTCGGTACTAAGACAAGATTTTTCAGATATTTGGTTTGACTGAAATAAAGAAAGCCTAAGTCTTTTCGCCTATGTGCCTTAATATTATCATTCATTACATTTCATTCTTACCACATTTTATAATAAAGCTTCCTTCATCTATCTTTCTTCACATTTATCAAGTACTTCACATTGTTTTTTTTGTTTACAATGGATTTGAAAAAAGAATAAGGCAATGGCATTAGAATTATTATTTTAAACTATATAGGTTACAAGAGAAAGACATAGACCATATTGAATCCTAGTTAAAAAAAATATAAGACAAAGCAATTAAAAAAAATACTTTTGTAAGTTTCTGTAATGGCACTTGTAAGTACAGATAGATAATCATATGTCGTGTGTTCGTCACAAGAAAAAGAAATGATTTCAAGAATAAAATTTAAAGAAATTTACACAAATTATAATAATAACAATAATTTCTTCATTAAATGAGATCAAATTACGCTAAACATTTAAACGACACGATTATTCTTCCACTACTACAGTGAAAATAAGTGCGAATCATCTTGAAAAGTCACACAAATCAAGATAATGCTCACTATAATGTTTTAACAAAAATCGTTGAATGTTTTTTTAGTTCATTCACATATCCGTGTGTTACGCAATCAAAGCTATAGTCAGTCATACATAGAACGGACGCCAGTTGCTCGTGCGCAACATTGCTTGTTATAAGTTTTCCAGTTTTCAGGAAAAAACGTGAAGAAAAAATTTTTTTGTGACAAAAGTGATTTTATTAATATAATAATCTCTTCAAAATATGAGTGATAAAATGTGAGTACACATATTTTATTATATTTAAAATAGATGAAAAATAATAATGTCGTAGAAAACGTCTAAATTGAGTGATCATATCAAATAATATTATTATTGTTTCAAAAGTGCATTAGGCTTTTAACAAATACATATCAGGATAGAAATTCCAAAGTAAATGGTAAATTAACCAGAAATGTTAAAGATAAAGTAAAAGATAATAATAAACTATTAGCTAATATAAATATTATGCATGAAAATGAGAGTAAGATCTAGAATATAAATTACAAGGCATCAGATTCGTGTCTAGGTCTTCTCGACTTACTGCCAATGTGACGTCATCATCATAAAGAGGGCTTGCACCGAAATAGAAACTATAAGCAATTGTATTTCCACCGATTGAGAACAATGGATTTAATGTTATTATATTAGATGATGTTAAAAGTATATTCACATGATAATAAGTGAAAGCTAACAATGTTCATATTTCTATAACCCATAGCATTATGTTTTCATCGATCAATGTCCACATTGTCGCACAAACGAGGTAGTTTTAGCAGTGAAGTAATTTGAAGAGGGTAATAAAAATGATAATGGTAAGGTTTTAGGACAAAAGGTTGGTGTCAAAATAAAAATAAATGACCTCAGCAAAGTTGGAATAATATAGATTTTGCAGTAAGAAAGATAAGCCGTAATATAGTTATAAATCCCTAGGGATATAATAATACACAATAACACAGTTATACGAAAGCCATTCATTCCTTTCTCACTAGGAATATAGTTATAAAACTCAAAAATAGGAATAGATAAAGATAGAATATTGAGTATCCAAAGATACAGTTCTAGATGACATTATAAATTAAAAGTCATGTCATGGTAAAAAATCATACGCTTACGTTTTTTAGGGTTGCAAAAATCGTAATTAAATTAGTTAAGGAACAATACCTGATACTGATATTCACAAATTTTTTTGACAAACTAAATTAAACTGAACCATGATTTATGGGATTTGAGTTCCACTGGATGGAGTTTGTGTTGAAATCATTGACATTAAAACGCGCGGGAATTTAGAACAACATGCCGACCTAGATTTGAACATAGAAAAAGCAAACATAGTTTAAAATGATCCTCTAAAAGCAACAAATGTTCAAATATAACATACTAATTATGTTATCCCAGACACATAATACATGTCTGTGTCAAATTACTTGAAGCAGTTTTTATTCCAAATAGTAACAATCTTCCATGCTTAGAGGTCACAGCTTATAAAAGGTTTTCTTTTATTTAATTATTATGTTGTCTTTTGTTTCTTAACACCATATTGCTCCATGTCAGAGAAAATAAGCCTTTACATCAGTCATCACTTTAACACTGTTTACCCTTAAATATATGAATCAATGGAAATAAAACTTTTGCTTCATCCAACACTGGCAGAACAACAGAGCCAATACCAAACAGTTGTTGCTTACTAAAGACATTTACTCTAACATTCTCATTCTGGATACATTCCACCATGATATTATGAAAGAAAATGTTAAGGTTGATGAGGCCTCAAAGAAAATGCTTCTGCGAGATCTGTCAAACACGTATTCTATTAATCGACTACAGAGACATTTACGACAAGAGTAGGGGATGTAATCAATATATTCCACTTTACCGTTACAATATGGCTTAATTTATACGTAGCAGAAGCGGTAATATGATCATCAATAAAATAACAAAGAAGTTAAAGAAAACTAGTGAAGAAACATAAAAAACTCAAAAGAATGTAAAAGATATTTCTGCAGAATTCACGTTTATCAGATACGTGGCGAAAATAGACGGGAGTAACCCATTTAAACGTTCGCTCCATGGAAAAGTGGTGCATTTGCCAAATATAATTTATGTTTGGACAGACAAAATGTTCGAGTTAATTTATTGCAGCTATATGAACGTCGTGTTTTACGTTTGTACCGGCTTAAGTGTCATTTTCGTTATTAAGATTACTGGACAAATCTTTAATATTAAATGGAACGATGTTTGTTTTACTGGTATTTTAAATTAGCGTTGGATTTTTTTTTGGAACTTTCAAGTCCAGTCTCTTTGATTAGTTTTTTCATCCTGTGGACATCTTGTGGGACAAAGTTTAAAATGTTAAGTATCTACGTATATTTATCTTTTGGCTTTTAGATTTTTTTAGTAATAGCTCAGAGTTTGAAATTTTGTATTTTTACAAGTAAAGATGGAAAGTAAATATATTTCACTGTACCTATACTTTATAAAGTCCCAACAAAAGAAGACTAGCGCAACTTGAATAATAAATTATATGTATAAATATTGGTAGGCCTTTTTGAGGAGTGAAAATGATTAAGTAAATAATTTCTTTAATTGTCCTGGGTGAAGTTAAAAGGAGTGTCAGACTGACTGACTAAAAGCGAGCCAATTCCTTCTTCTGCTTCAGACCAGCGCCGCGGTTCATTAAAATCGATAGACCTTTTTTTGTCAGGGGAAAATCATCAAATGACTTTTCCCTCCCAGGGTAAGGAAAAGAGAGTGCCAGACTCTTACTGACTAAAAACCCCCTTTCTTCTCCTGCTTTAGGACGTGGCCTCGGTGCCACATTGCCCTTTGCCCGCAACCTCGGCTGAACACCAGCCCTGTAGGGCCCCGTCTGTGGTGGTCTATTGGCTCTTTGAGGCGCGCGCGGAACGCTACACGCCGTACGCTCCGACCTGGTCGGGCGGCAAGCTACCCTTACTCGCCGTCCGCAGACCCTCGCTTAAAATCGATAGATCTAATGAGTTAATTATGGTTATTTGTTTGTAATAAATATATAGAGCTGGCAATGATAGAGGCCAACGTTCTAATAATTGCAGTCTTGACATCGATCTGATGAACTAAAGATGATCGGAGTGAAGATGCCAACTTTTCTTCATTGACAAATGTGTCGATTAGTGGAGATTTATTTGTGGGATGCGTAGTAGTTACTACTTTAGTTTAAAAATAACAATATTATTTATTTTCTTAATCACTACAATAGTATGAAACAAAGTCGCTTTCTCTGTACCTATGTATATCCCTAGGAATGCTTAAATCTTTAAAAAACTGTTGCGTATTTTTAAAGATTTTCAGTAGACAGGATTTTCAATAGACAGAATGGTTGAAGGAGGAGGTTTATAAGGGATAATAACATCCATTGAATGATGGGGAAATTTTGTCTCAGCACCCGTGCAAAACCGAGGAGGATCGCTAGTAAATAAAATATTTCAAAATGTGTAACCTATCTTCCCTACGTTGTAAGGTGTATTGATTAATTAAATATATTTATATGTATATATGTCTATAAATTTAATATTATTTTTGCCTTTACAGAAAGATGGAACAAATAAACGGTGCTATTGATTTGCCTTACGTGGTAAGTTATTTTGAAACGTTAATTTATTAACTTAGATAGTTTTATTAACTTAGTAGTACTTTTTTGTGTTTTAGTTGTGGAATATCTACTGAGAAATTAGGTACAGCTATTAATCAAAGGAAAGTATTTGTTAGCCAAGCAATATTAATAGACGTTCTCATTAAACACACCAGAAGCTTAATGTTATACTATAGTTCACACTTTATTCATATAAAGAAAAAAATCACTGAACACATATAATTTAAAGCAGCGACATCTACTGACTCTCTCGTGAATTTCTCAGTATTCCTAAAGTTCCTTTATGTTGTTTCGTCTGCCATGTAGCGATTACCCGTATCTATGTACGTTTTAGTTTCTTTAGGACGTGTCTAGATGGCGTTCTTTTCTAAATTCATTTTTAAAAATCTTTTAATATCATCCACCATAACGGCATGTAGGTACAACAAGAAATGAAATGGTCTAATGGCACATTTTTTAGGAATTTGGTGGTATCTATCTGTACTTCATGTTTTGACGTTAAGTAGCTCTTAGTATAATATGTACCTAAAAGCATTTGAATTTTGTAACAGTATACTTTATGTTTTGATAGCCGTCTTTTTAACTCACCTTATGTAATTTTGCAAAATCTGAACAATATCCCGAAAAACACTAATTCACGTAGAAGTAAAAAAATGTCGTTATCATGATACAAAGAAGAACCACCAAATTTTTTTTGAGGCACGCAAGGTATTAAAAATTGTACCGTCACCAAAACTGAGTGAATAAAACAAAAACCTATCATCACATAAAATAATTCCAGGCTCATACTTCTGAAGAACTGGGCAGATACCTCGTCGCCTCTCGGGACCTGGCTCCAGGTGACTTGGTCCTAACAGAAAGACCTCTGGTCTTTGGTCCTAAGGGCATGCTGGATCCAGAGGAAGTAATGCCTTGTGTTGGCTGCTACAAGCCTGTATTAACTGAAGCTGGGGAACGGTGTGCCAAGTGAGTAATTTTATTTGGGCTTTTCGATTTGTTTGACATGATTGCGTATGGTTCGACGAGGTTGCTTAAATAATTTTAATAGATAGCATTTATAAATAGCAGACGTGGCAAGTTTGACGCGACCAAAGTAAAATGTAAAAAAATAAAAACTATTTCAATAATTGATGTCGTTAGTCCATTAAAATCAGAGACGTACCTGAATATAACATTAACTATGTAGTGTATATGTTGTACTTATTAGAAAAAAAACCTACTATTTCCTCAGGTGTGGCTGGCCAGTTTGTTCAGGAAACTGTCCAGGATTAAAAGATCCAAGGCATCATGCTGCAGAATGCGAGATACTAAGTCTAAGATCAGAATGTGCGCTCAATGACATGGCTGATTACTATAGGTAAGAATTGGTTTGATCTGAAATCATTAACATCTTAAGCTGCCTATTACGTAATAGAAGTTTTTCATTTGTAAATGGGATTTTTTCCCGTCCTGAGCGGGCGAGTGGGAGTATCAGGTTCTTACTGACTAAACCACCCTGTTTTTTCTAGCAATGCTTACAGTAGTGTAAATATTATATATATTTATGTCCTCTACCGCCAATACAACACTCAATTAAACTATAGGTATAAACTATTTATGAAACGATCTATTGTCTTATTATGTATACGTTTCTTACTTTGCAGACACGATGCCTTACTTCCATTAAGGTGTGTGCTGCTGCAGAAGACAGATCCTGAAGGTTGGAAAAAATTGCTAGAAATGCAATCACATATGGAGTGTCGAACACCAGGAACGGAAGCTTATGAGTAAGTGGATTGTTCAAATTAATTTTCAATCACTTTTAAATACCTCAATCACCTAACGTAAAACTTATACTATTCTTTAGATTTGATCTTTATTTTAAAAACGACTATTAAAATAATCCGATCCAACAGACAAACTGTGTATACAGTTTTGTTGGACATTTTATACTTTTTATAATCTAAAATGTACCTTTTAAGCCATAATAAATAATAATAATAATAATAAAGTACACATTACCTATTCAGTTTACTAGTAAAATAAGTTCTAACAAATTTTAATAATGCCTTCATTTACAATTGCAGTGAGGCGAATGAATTCATCGTCGAGTACTTAATGAATAACTTCGTGAGCAAACTTGATGAGAAACAGAAGAAAACATTTGAAATTACCGCTGAATTACTTCACAGGATATGTGGAATCATTGACACGAATGCTTTAGAAATCCGTTTGCCTCAAGGATCTGAATTGAATGCGCTATACGCGGAAACTTACAAAATGGAACACAGCTGTGTACCTAATACTAAGCATACTTTCAATCTTTCCGCAAAAGACAGGAAAGATTTGTACAAAATAACTATAAAAGCCGTGGTACCAATAGTTAAAGACCACCACATATCGACAATGTACAGCCACGCGTTATGGGGAACCCAAGCCAGAAGGCAACATTTGAAAGACACAAAATATTTCGCTTGTAAATGTCCAAGATGCAGCGACCCAACTGAATTGGGTACTTATTTAAGTGCAATGAGATGTTTAGGTGATGGTAACAATTCTTGTGATGGAATTCATTTACCAGATGATCCTTTAGACGACGAAACTGATTGGTCTTGTAACAAATGTCCAGCAAAAGTTAGCAATTCTCAAGTTAACATGGTTATATCACAAATGGGAGAAGACGTCGAGAATGTTTTAATGATGGGTGGCTCAGTTACTGTATTAGAAAACCTTCTATTTAGACTGTCAAACTTTTTACATCCTAACCATTATCATCTGTATACCATAAAGCATTCATTAGTACAATTGTATGGAAGACAACCTGGTTATCAAACGAAGGAGATTTTAGAAAAGAAAATCAAAATGTGTAGGGAACTTATAGCTGTTACCAAGGCTTTGGATCCAGGGAATGCAAGACTTAGTTTGTACAATAGCGTTTTGCAGCATGAACTACATTCTGCTTTAGTTATGAAGTTTAAAAATGGTCTAAAAGATGAAGAAGTAAAACCTCTACTGATTGAAGCTAAACTAGCAGTCGAAGATGCATTATATTCACTTAAAGATGATATAGAAGAAGTTTCTGGTAAAAAACTACAATGCGTTATTGAAGATAGCAAACACCAATTTGAAAAGCTATGTAAACAAAAGAATTTGGTTATTTGATATTTAAGGCTTTATTTAAGGCATTAAAATGGTATTTTTATTTTTCATCGCATTTTGATTTTGTGATTATTTGTCTTTTGCCCGCGGCGTCTCTTTCGCTCTACTCTAAGGCAGATTATTATTCAATTTCGCTATTTGCTCTTAGCAACATATTCAGCGTTTCATTTTGTATTCATTAAAGTAATTCAGTAGATCAGAAAAATGATGCTTAATATTTTGGTTAATGGAGTTCTTGTTAGACAGTTCTTAGATAACAGTTAGTTCTATTCAATCTTTGAAAGGCTAACAACCAACAAAATGCCGACTATGCACTTGTAATTCCTTTACCGTTGCGGGTTATCATGGACGGCACTCATTACTTTCCATCAAGTCTAGTTGTTAGCCGACCTTTACAATCCAAATGAATTACTTGGATCTGAATCATTTCCTTAGTCTTCGTTAAAAATAATCCCATTTCCCCTGAAAGTATTAGTAGGGTATTGAAACAACCCAATGATATGAAACAACACTAGTTTCTCAGCTTGCAGTTCGATTTATTTATTGTCACTCGATTGAAAGCCACTCAGTCCTTCGAGCCGCGAGTGACAGATACTCGTGTGCAGCTTTTTTAATTGACACCTAATCTAATGTTAAGTTTGTAGTTATTCGTTTTCAATAGTGATAAATATACTTTTAAGTGTATGTAACTGTAACTCTCGCGTAAATGTAAGTATGAAATATTTTGTTCTAAAAATATAATGTAGGCAATCGTCGTTTTTATTTTCTTACTATCCTATCTTTTTGGTAACTGTAATTTGTACTTTAAAGAAATAGATCTAAACTGATGTATCTTGATATCGAACTACCAAATACTATTAAGAGAAGAAAAGTTTACTTTCAAAATAGAATGCAATAAATTGATTTGACGAGCAACCAAAAGTTCAGTGCAATCTAAACATGTTGATTCTAATTAAATCTTAGATTGACAATCGAGCAAATGAGGACCAATTTAGAAGGAGTAGGTAATAGCAGTGTCAGACGTACATAAAACCACAATATAAAAGGCAATTTAATACATAATCAATTTATAAAAGTCAACAATTATAATCAAATATCAAACAAATATATAAAAGACAATTCAACACCTCAAATAAATGCTACATTAATTCTATTTGCACAATCAAAATAGATTTACATGACAGCCGATGCTTGTGCTGAATTACTGGGCGATATCAACGCAATGAGCGCAACAGAACATCTACTGTATAGTTAAGACGACGTCTTGAGTGATGTCGTGCAATCTGGAGAAGTGCCAGAAGCAGTTTGTATGAAAGAAAATTGTCAGCCGATTGTGAAATTTGTTTACTGATAGGCTAAGTGCCTTTATGAGAGATTTTAGCCAGAATGTCAACGGTTGGAGATCACATCTTTAACGCTCAGGTTTATAAGAGGTCACTTTTATCTAGTTTTATGAAATATGTTTTCTTATTGTAAGCTTTCACGACACCTATGTAAAAAGAAGGCGTTAAAAAATTGAACCATATGGTTCAGTTACCAGCCAATCTTTCGCAAAGTAGTCCAATAAACAGGTTCTTATATTTTGTGTGGATCTAATGCAATTTTGAAAGTCATTCACTATTAATACGCTATTAGGCTATAACAAATTATAATGATGAATCATGTATTAAAATTTTAATAATTTTTTTCCAGAAATATGGAAGATAAGAACGGTAGCGGTGTGTTGGCTTATCACCTGGTGAGTAAACTAGAAAAATATATTAAACCTATAGCGACCTCATTCGGTGTCCCCTTTTACTTTTAACGTCTCATTCCCAATTGTTCCCTGTCACTCGGAGTTCATTTAATTTAACTTGTTGGAGCTATTCATAGATGTCACTACTAAAGTTACGTACTAGAAGTCATAGATGGCGCCAGTAGTTTCGAATTTGTATTAATATCATTTTATTCAATAAGCTACTTAAAATGGTTTTTTAAACTATTAAGTAAGTTCTTACTTAATCAACTCAACCTATCCGTTGAGAGAATACAGTTTCTTTTTTCAGGTGCAATCCTTAGATGACGATGTTGGAAGACATCTAGTGGCTTCTCGAGACCTTTGTCCAGGAGATGTAGTGTTGACAGAAAGACCTTTAGTGTTTGGGCCTAAAGCCATGCTAGACCCTGAAGTAGCTATGCCTTGTGTTGGATGTTACAAACCTGTCTTTACTGAATCAGGAGAAAGATGTTCTAAGTAAGTACCTATTTAGTGGAGATACGAAATAAACTTTTTAACAGCTAATTTAGGGCCTGTTGTCATTCGGAGAAGTGTTAAGCGTCGATCACCGTGCTGGCTCAAGGTGTTGTTTATTGTTGACGTCTTCATAACGTTTTCCATGATCATTGGAACCACGGAATATATTTTCTGTTCTGTGATTGGAACCCAATACATAGGTCTTTTTTTATGTAATAGTTGGGCAAACGAGCAGACGGATAACCTGATGGTAAGCAATCAGCGCCGCCCGTGGAAACCCGCAACGAAGGAGTTACGAGTGCGTTGCCGACCTTTTAAGGATTAGGGATTTGGAGACTCAGGGATTGAGGAGGGATTGGGGAAGGAGAAGGATTGGGTTCCGGTAACCTCACTCACACGACGAAACACAACGCTGTGTTTGTTTCACGCCGGTTTTCTGTGAGGCCGTGGTCGTGGCCGGTCGAGCCGACCCATTCGTGCCGAAGCATGGCTCTCCCACACTTAATCTATATCATATCAGGTCTATCTCATATCAGTCCTTAGAAACTCAAAAATAATAGAATACAAACAATGATTACCATATTACAATCATTACGCAATATTTAAAACATTTGACTATAATCGGTAACGAGAACTACTGAGTTGACTCTATTTATAAGAGATCTAGCATCGAATGACCAAATAACTTTTAGACGTTCTATTTCTCGACTACCACAATTTACTCGATGCAAGTTTCTTGTCTGTTGCACACGATAGGTTACAGCAATTATTGACTAGAACGTAAAGTCCAAACGATACTTATGGTATAATGTAAACAGGCCTTAAAATTATTTTTTTATTTATGGTGTAGGTCGGCAAGCGAGCAAACGGATTACCTGATGGTAAGTAATCACCGCCCCCTATGGACACCCTCAACACCAAAGGAGTTACGAGTGCGTTGTCGGCCTTTTAGGGATAAGGGTTTTGGATATCTAAGGATTGAGAAGGTATGGGGGAGGGGGAGAGAATAGGCCTTGGCGAAACACAATGCTGTGGTTGTTTCTCGCTAGTTTTCTGTGAGGCTATAGTATTAATCTGGTTAAGCCAACCCATTCGTGCCGAAGAGAGGCGTGCCCTCGTGTTGAATAAAATTATTGCTTCTTAGCCCTTAGAAAGCATAAAAGTTATTCTTCTACAATTTTAAAAAAAGCTAAAGTTATTTAAGTAATTATTTCCCAATTTAAATTACCATTTGCAGGTGCGGTTGGCCCGTCTGTTCGGGAAACTGCCCAGGACTCAAGGATCCAAGACACCATGGAGCTGAATGTGAAATCCTCAGCTTAAGACCCGAATGTGTTTTGAAAAACATGGCTGATTATTACAGGTTATTGCAGAAGTTTTATTAAACGCGGTTACTGATATTCAAAACTGTTCAATTTATATTCAAACGGAGACCCTAACTAGGCATTTAGAAATAAGTAGATTTTTCTCTCGTAAAATTTTGGATTAGGAATATCAGGATAAAAATATCATGAGACTACCTTTTAGGTAGCAGTTCTCCCTAAAAAGTAGTCTTTCAATGGTGAAAATAACTTTCAATTATTTCTGTAGACTAATTTCAGAGCACATAAAAATCACCAAGTATTTTGTCTTCTAAAAGTACCTATAGATAAATCGAAATAAGTAGCAATAATTTGTACGGAGAGATTTGATTTTCAATAAAAGGTTCGGTGTTGTTTAATAAAATGTGAAGTTATAAGAATAATATTATGCATAGCGCCAATCTCTCAGTGATGAATATATGACTACAGTTCGGACGCGAAATCTACTTAAACTAAATTACTGCATTGCTGAGAGCTGTAGGGTATGGACTTCGGCGAGTAACTATGGAGTTTCTTGCTCGTTCTTCTCCATAGGAATCTACACTTTGGAACGAGCAAATAGCTTCACTAGAGAACAGACGGACAGACTGATACGCTTAAAGTTAAATTCCCTTGAAATACTTTTTCCTTTTTTCGCTTGAAGTTCAAAAGTTTAGGAACTTTTGAACGTCAACGTCTAATTATAATAAATGATTTTGACTGATTGACTTTGACTTTTGACTTTGGCTGGAAAATTGTGTGCACATTGGATCAGGCTGGATCGGATACAACCAAGTCACTCACTCAAGATGGTGAACATAGCTCTCAGACAAAGATTGGATATTACAATACTATTAAAAGCTCTTCAGTTACCAACTAAAATAAAGACAGAATCAGGCTTTCTCGTATTTCCATTACTAGATTTCTTTTATGAATTCTAAAGACATTTTGCTATATTAAAGTAGGCTTTTAACTATCTCTAGGCACAATCAAAGAAAAATAATTAAGTATAGTAACTGTTACTAAGATCTTTTCTCCGCTTACTTATCTGTCTAGACAGTAAATTAAAAACCCTTCCATCCTTTTTGCTCGACAAAAATCTTTCTTCAATAATACTGACCGAAATTAACAAATGGTTGTTAAAATAAAATTGAAATAAAAAAAAAACCTTTATAGAAATACCGCTGTTTGGAAAGAAGCATTATGTTAGGTACCGTTGATAGTAATTATGATGTTAAAGGAAATTAAGGGCTTACAAAGCCAATAAACAATATTAAACAGTTTTCGCGTGATTGTCGAACAATGTTTCCTTACATAGAAAGGAGGCAAACGAACAAGTGAATCGTCTGATGGTAAGCGATGATCGCCACCCATGGAAACCAGCCTTTTAAATAGAAGTCCGCACTTTATATGAACTTTAAAGATCGTATAAGTTTGAAAATATGGCCGACGATCCAGTTCATGCCATAATTAGCGGTGTATGAGATTTAATTTCAAAATAACGATATCAAAAAACCTTTTCCTTTCAGACATGATGCCCTAATGCCATTAAGATGTGCCTTACTCCAGAAGACAGATCCTGAAGGTTGGAAGCAACTGCTGGACTTGCAGTCACACATGGAGTGCCGAACACCTGGAAACGATACCTATGAGTATGTATTTATATAAGGTCATAAGATATGGTAGACAGAGGCCTTTGTACATTGTGAATGTTTTATAGTGATTTCGAGTATTTTGCGCTAGTTATATTATGCTGGGTTAATTCAAAAATTCAGATCATATCATCACCCTACGTACATTTGTATATAGGGTATCTTTAACTGTCCATTGTAAGGCTTCTTATCACACGGAGGATGTTTCGGCATTCGGCATTAATTAGAAATTATAAGTCCAGATTTCCTTACAACAGAGTAGTCGTTTTCCTTCACCGTAGTGTGTGTGTTTAGATAAACTTAGAAGGTACATTTATGACTCTGAACAAGTCACATCGGTATCCATTTGTTAGGTTTCGTATCTGGCTCCTCATACGTAAGCATGGAGTGAAGGTGGCGGGCGGGTTGTAAAGTGAAAAATTAAAAAGATAAAAACATTTTTATATTTATTATTTGCTGAACTCCTATGTACCTTACTTGCTAAGCAATTTTGTGGTTCTAGCAAACCCAAACCAACCAAGGCAGTTTTTCAAAAATATTCTGTAAATGAGCAAAACGAGATACAATAATATATAAAAAAAATACACTCTATCAATCCCTTTCCTATTTGTCCCAAACATTAAACGTTTTGAAGGTTTCAAATAGAATCAAAAAAGGGAACACGTTCCCCATTTTCTCCTGTTGAAAATTAACGGGTCGCGGAAATGTCCATTTTGCTGGGATCTCTATAAATCCCTTCATTCATTTGTTTTGTAGCCAATAAATACTAACTAAAGGAATAGGTCATTGCTTTCAGAAATGTAGCAAACAAGACATTTTATGAGAATTATTTTTGTGATGTGAATAAAAAGAGTAGCTACTATAAGGATTAGGATACTTTTATTTTTTGCGCACCATTGATAACATTATGAGGTAAATAACAATTGAAAATTTGATAAGTCGATTTTGAGTGCTAGTGAAGCTTCCGGGATTACTACCGTTCGCTCCGTACCCATAATCAAATCTGCCAATACTAAAATCCCTAACCCCGAAAACGTTGGAAATTTCCTGAAGGTATGGGAGTCCATAAGGCTGCACCTGCAGCGGTTACCAAAAACAACAGATGAAAAAATAAAAAAAAAAATAAAAAAATTTATTAACACCTGAAAATTAATGAAATTTAAGAAACGAAAATAATAAGCATCGAACCAATTTTCTGAACAGTCTAAATGGGAATTCTTTTATTTATTTAACAGGAAGTTTAATCATCGTCTGTTTCAAAAAGCTGTTTACACTTCGAATGGCTACTATCAAACGAAAAGAGGAAAACGTATTTTTAAAAGAATTGAAGAATTGATTGAAAGAGCCTAAATAGATTTCAATTATATTTGGTATCTCATTGCTATGATATATATTTTGTTTCTTATTTAAAATCAAGTCATGGGTAAAAATATATTTTCATTAAAAAAAAAACAAAAACGATATTATTCTCATTTAATATCTCATTCAAAGAATCTTTTGTAAGGGGTTCATGAATGCTATAAGTTGTTCTTTAACAACAATATGACAGACGATTCAACCATCAAAAGAGCGTAGGAAAACAAAACCTCGATTCAAAAAATTACTACTGAATACCCAAACTTTGTAAGTAATTAAGTCAACGGATAGAATATTCCAATTTGAAATTAAGTCTTTATAGCATCATAAAACTAATTCCCTCTTTGTAATTCCAGGGAGGCCAACGAATTCATCGTCGAATATCTAATTAACAACTTCATAAACAAGATGGATGAAAAATTAAGAAAAACTTACGAAATAACTTCGGAATTACTTCATAGAATTTGTGGAATCATCGACACGAATGCTCTGGAGATTCGTCTACCGCAAGGAACTGAACTCAGCGCTTTGTACGCTATAACTTGTAAGATGGAACACAGTTGTATGCCGAACACGAAGCATACATCTTTTGCATTTAATCCTAAAGATAAGAACGACCTGTACGAAATAACAATTAAAGCCGTCGTTCCTATAATGAAAGACAATCACATTGCAACTATGTACAGTCACGCATTATGGGGAACTCAAGCCAGGAGACAACATTTGAAAGACTCGAAATATTTCGCTTGCAAATGCCCAAGATGTAGTGACCCCACTGAACTTGGTACATATCTAAGTGCTATGAAATGTTTAGGTGATGAAAACAAACCTTGTGATGGTATTCATTTACCTGAAGATCCTTTGGATGATGAAACTGATTGGGTTTGCAATAAATGTCCAGTAAGAGTAAGCAGTTCTCAAGTAAACATGATCATGTCACAAATGGGAGAAGATGTGGAAGCAGTTCTGATGATGGACGGTTCCGTGACCATATTAGAGAATTTACTGTGTAGACTAGCGATGTTTCTACATCCAAATCATTACTACATGTACTCGTTGAAGCATTCTTTAGTACAATTATATGGTAGGGAACAAGGATATACGTCAATGGATATTCTAGATAAGAAAATAAAAATGTGCAGAGAACTCATTTCTATTACAAAGGCTTTGGATCCAGGTAATGCGAGATTGAGTTTGTACAATACTGTTTTGCAACATGAACTACATTCAGCTTTACTTCTGAAGTGCAAAAATATAGCTGTTGCAAAGGCAGAAGAAATCAAGCCATTGCTTACTGAAGCTAAATCGGCTATAGAAGATGCGTTAAAGTCAGTTAAAGATGATTTGGAAGAAGTTTCTGGTAAAAGACTACAATCTGTATTAGATGAAAGTAAAAGGGAATTTGATAAGTTTTGTAAGCAAAAGAAAATAATAGTTTAGGTACGTGTTTATTTGGTATCTTGTAAATTCTATCTTAAACTATATCACAGTTGTTTCTTTGATGTTAGTGTGCATCGAACTTGATGCTATTAGTTTTTATATAAAAATAAAGTTTGCTTTGACCTACTTACTTCTATATCATACAATTACTAAAAAGTTGTAATAAAGCGAGTTAAATTTTATTTTTAAAAGTGTATTAGCTATTTGGTTGCTTTTTCTTATTTGTACATTTTCCAATTATATTTGCTCTCAGCACATTGTTTATCTACGAAACTATTACATTTGAAAGAATTTTCATTACAACATGTTCTTTCGTTAACTATTTTTTATGTACGGGCCAACTTACACAAAATTAATTAAATTTTTATGAACAATTATTTATACGTTTCATTGAAAATCTCTCTGTATACAATAAAAGTAGTTGTGAAAAAAATATTAACTTTAACATGATTTAGCTAATAATCACTACAAACAGTATTGTAACCTTAGGCACTTGGCACTATCTTGAATGTCTTAAGGTTATCCGTTTGTGAATTACTTTATATTTGTTCTAGTCCTCGTCTCGAAAACTCTTCAAACGCCCTTCTTGATTCATTACCATTAATACCTTCTCTATTTTCAAAATCATCTTCGTCCGAAAAAGCTGCTGAAATTCGGGTACCAATTCAACCCACTTCTAGCTTTATCTCCGTTGATACTTTGTACTATCCAGTCTGTGTACCTCGATATTCTGGTGTATACTCCAGGCATCCTAGGTCTAGCACATCCACTGCCAGTAGAAACTACTCCTACCACCATCACGTGACGTCTATCACTATCATCCCTGACCATGAGTGGGCCACCGCTGTCAGCCTGTGAATTCAAAGCAGTTAATTTGTTCATTTTTTTTTTTGAGACCAAAAATATTTTCTATCCCTTGATGAAGTGAGAGGGAGCGACACAATCGTACTGATCTACTCTTACATCGAGCTGGGTCGTGGTGAGTTTTTGCGTTTGACTTGCAACCTCGACAAACATATTAAGCGCATTCATTTTTATAAAGCTAAAGTTTATATAAATTTATGTTACAATAATACATCTTTAGCAATGAGCAATACTGCTAAGTATAAGTTTTATGGTTTAATCCCATTGGACAAAGTGACTTGATTATTTCAGAAGATTCAGTTAGTCTACATACCGACCAGTTTCCTTAAGTTTCGTTTTTGATCATTATATTCACGTTTAAATATAAAAAGCCAATTTCTCGTAATTATATTCGTCTTTTGACACGGTTTACATATCTCTATAATGCATGTAACTTGTGTGATACCCCAATATACTCACCCAGCAAGAATCACGACCCCCAATTTCATGTCCAGCACACATTTGGGTGGGTATGACCTTGATCTTGCTACCTTGCGATCTGTACCAGCTATTGCACTCATCATTGGTAACCACTGTTACTTCTGTCTTCTGTAAGATGTTGGGTCTTGCACCTTGAAAAAGAAGAACTTCGTATTAGCGACAAACCGAGCCTTTAAATGCTTTCGAGCAGGCGTAACACCTGATCACAACACCATAAGTATATTGTGTTGCAGACATATGTGGGTGAATTAAGAAATTTGAGGTTTTAGAAGTGGAGGGAAAAGAGTCGGCTTCTGGTAACCTCATTCACACGACGGAACAGAACGCAAGCATTGTTCCACGCTAGTTTCTGTGGGGCGTAGAATCACTTAGGTCTAGCCAAGACAAATGCAGAGGCGTGGCTCTCCTAATTCTAATTCCGTGGTCATGGATGTTATGTTGGAAATGTTTCAAAATTAAATGTAACAATTTTTTTTAGTTTAGATAACAATAACGATAGTAGTAGTGCATCTATCAGTACTTGTCTGAGCATTTATTAAAAGGCCTTCAACAACATACTTTGAGATAGGTATTATAATTATCATGAAACTTCATAATGTGTTATAATCTAATCACTTTACCATACTCAATTCAAGTTGTTTATACATAGTAACTTTGCAATTGAATAATGCATGTTATCATTTGAGTGTTTCTGACTGTACCTAAATGAAGGATTGTTACTGACTGTACCTTGGTAGCTTGAATATTAGTAACGATATTTATATTTTTTCAGATCTTAGCTAATGAATACTCCAGGAAAACCTGTTCATTATTGATAAGAAAATATACAATGCTAGTTAGTTAGATCTACCAATAGTCCAAAGACGAGAAAAGAAGAGAATTCCTCTTTAAACACTCGTACCTTTCTCTCGATCCTCATTGGTAAAGCCCCATCCAGCAACAGTAGCTGATGTTCCACTGAAGTCCTGGGCTGGGGAGTTAGGTAGACAGGCTGGTTGGAGACCAGTTGACCAGCGCAGCTGTCTTGCTGTCTTCAGAAGAGCTACATCATTAGACTTCCTGTTGCACCTAAAAATATTTAAAATTTTGTTTGTGTTTATTTGAAGTTGAATTCTGCGATTGAAGTAAAATAATGTAAAAAAGTTAGTAGATAACATGTAAAACGCTGTCACTCGTCCCATTAAATTATTGTAGTTACTTATATTATTATGATCATGATATGAGTAAAGAGTTGGATAAAAAATTTGGAAGAATATTTTTACCAACTTTTCTAATCAAAAAATACTATCTGTACCTGCAATTTTTCAAAGTCTACTTAACTACAATTTTTATTTCTAAAAGTTAACTAAATTTAATTAAAAATAAACATTTTTTACGAATGCACAACAATGATAAGCGTTAAAATATGAATTGCATCACTATTCGAACTCAAACTCTCTTTTTCATAAAAAAAAATATAATGGTAAATAAACATTTTAAATAAATGTCTTTTATCAAAAATAATTAAAAGCAAAACAATTCGGTGATTTAACAAAAGACGCGACTAGATAATGCATCAAGGGTTTTATAAAAAGAACGTCAAAGTATGAACTCAACTCGAAACTGATATTCAGGTACTTAGACAATAATAATTCATGCTTACTTGCAAACATGTTTTTAATTATAAAAAGTCATAGTCATCTTTGAAATGGAAAGATAATTAATGAGTTTGAACAATCAACTGAAAGAGTTTCGGGGTGAAACACACGTAAGTTCATGAAGTTGAAGTGATTGTCAAGGACTTTCACTAGAAGAGCAATAACTCGTTGCTTATTGAAAAGGTTTAAACTGTCTCATTCGTGTACTTTGTCGCTTTTAAGAAATTATACTTGTGTACTTGGGTTTTTCAAAATTAATTCTAGAATTTATTGTTTAATTTATTTAAAATGGAATGTTAAGCCGAAATCATAACTACATATGATGTTATCACGAAGAATTTAAAAGCCGAGAAAGGTAATAAAACTTTATGCATCAGAATCGAAAATTCAATTTAGTATAATCGCGCTTATTGATTCCATAATTCGGTCTATAAAGCAGTGAATGAAGAGAGCTTACCTATAATCCGGGTGAGGTATGATTCTAGCAACCGGTTGATTTTCATCCTTGACTGAGATATCGGTGTAACCAACTACAACCGAAAGCTGTTTTGATTTGTAAAACTCGTCGAAGACACTAAAAAAGAATTTTATATTTGTGATTATGTGTATCTGTTATCAGTTTACTATGATAATATGGTAAAGGGAAGCTAAGGCAGAAAATTGCCATTTTGTCAATTTAAGAAAAATTGGAAAATCGTTTATTCGCTATGTAAAAAAATCCATTACTATTATAAGAATCTAAAGCAAGCGCACCAAACTACAGCAGTCTCCTGGAGCAGCTCAAGAGACATGCTGGTATTTAGTTGGTAAAAGTCTGATACTTCCTGTCGCCTCAAACTTGCCCAGAGAAAACATAGGAGGACTTAGGTGCCCTCCTCAAAAAAACCCTTGGTTGAAAATACCTAAATTATTATCATTAACTGTCAAACCAGACGACACAAACATAATACAAATCTTCTTAAATTAGACTTGAAGATTATACCAAATAAAATCGTTCAAACCTGCAAACACAATGTCCAGCGGTCAGCAGCCACCGATCATTCAGCACAGTGGCTCCACATTGATGAGCACCCTGCCTCCACACGCTGGCAGCCCAGGGAAACTCCGCAGGAAGACTGTCCACCCCACCAACTATACGGGCACTGCGGGCCACGTCGATACCACATTCTACGTCCGCCACTGTGCGATGAAATGAGAATATTAATTTTTGAAGAAAATCCTTCTAAAATGTATATTTCATAAAAGCGGCTGGAACAATTTGGTTGAAGTTTAGTATGTCGATAGGTGATATATAAGCTATTCCCTGAATTAATATATAAGCTATTTATCAAAATATAACGCGGACGATGCCGCGGGGGAAAGCTCGCAAGCATTGAAAGTGGTCCTAGTAAATAAAAAAACACCACATTCATATCAGTAGAGATAACTGATAAATTAATATTATTTTAGCTAAATTCTATCTTTGGAATTAGAACTTATAAGACTTTCATCAGTTATTAATGAATTACATTAATATTGTTATCTGTAGTTTAAAGTTGTAGTATAGAATTTGTACGACATGTTTGTTAGTTCTCATTCGTGCATAAATGCCAACGATTTATTAAAAAAATAAATAATTGCAAATCTGCAATTGTTAATTATACGATGTTTATTAGGATTGATCGATTAAAAACCACGTAGCGGTAAAATAAATTGTTATTCTTAAATGGCGATAATCGATGTTCAAATTTTTCAAATCGTTAATATATGAATGGACATCCAAAAATATTGCCAATGACCACGAAAAATATTTCCTATCATTATAATAAACCGCTTCAGTCAAAGGTGATTCATAAGTTTCCTTGATAATTTTATTGTCCCGGCTAAATATAGCCTTTTATTTCATAATAGGCTACATAATTTGCCAGGCTATATATAGATTGCAGGTCTGTGGGTCAGAGCCTCGGTCACGGTCGAATTTTGTTGTGATTAATGTCAGTCAAGGTTGATATTGAAAATTTTACATTTTAATTTCGTTCATTTATATAATTGTGTTAATATTTTTGCAGAATTTATTTTAAATGTTATTGTCACTTTTAATTCTTTTATCTTTTTTTAATAGTTTTTGATAGATTTGTTTGTTTTATAATAAATAATTTTATTCGAGTATTTGTTAATATTAGTTGAATCTTATTTGTGTATGCTAATTTATTTCAAATAATTTAAATTAAATTGTATTAGCTGCATTTCAATTTTGTTTAAGCTCTTCAACGGAAATAGTTAAATTCACGGAAGTAGATATCTATCTATAAATTATTATAATTATTATGAATGAATTATTAATATCTGGTTTTGTTTTGCTTAATTAATCATATATCAAAAATGTATTATTAATAAATAAATAGTACCTAAGCATTATTAACTTAAAAAAGCTGCAAAAACAATTTTGATCGTCATTTTTTAATAACAATAGATTTTATCAATTTATTTTTCAATAAATTATTTATATAAGTAGTAAATAAATACTCACAGTTAATAAAACAAAATCCATAATTTACACAAAAAATAAAAAACACAAACACGAAAAAAGGCACACGACACATTTTGTCAAAAACAAACAATTATCTGATGATTTTTCAGATATAACACTGGTATATATCTGTCGAATATAGGTCTAGGACATCACTTTATATATATCGATAAAATAAATATAGGTTTACGTGTCAAAGTGCGTGCACTCACAACGTGTTTGACGATTAACTTAAGGATATTTAACTCCTCTATGATTTGTGTCGGCCCTCCTTCGCATGTTTGAAGGCCTGACCCCTATGATTTGTAGTGATGTGCGTGTGTTCGTCTTTTTATTTCGATATGTTTTATTTATATTAACAGTTTATATGTATTTTTTTCTAACTGGTTAATTACATAGAGCTTTCGGTGATACTTTCTTATGGGCTTTGCAGAAGCCTACTCAGTAAATGTTCACTATTTATCAGATATTTGTTATGAATCTGTATATTTGGTATCAATTATACTTATATACACTTCCGCTTTTTTTTACTTAAATAGTTGTTTCAAATTCGTACATCCATTTCTCCTTCCTTCTAGCTAACAAGGACTTAAAACTCAATCAAAAATCGAGCTAGATAAAAATCACATAAACACAATTATTTTGACTTTCCAATGCAATGATTAATTAAAATATAGTACTCAATTTCAGATATTTTTTTTTCATTTCGATAAGAAGATTCTTGTACTTTTTAATAATTAAAGTATTAAAATAATATATGAAAAAAATCGATAACACCTAAATAATATGACACAAAGCACATCACTATTACAAATTCATTGTCAGGTTCGCCGCAACCTCGACGGATAACGATTACAGTCGCGGAACCGTACATCGTTACGATAACCATAGACATTATCGACATATTTGTACACGTATATTTGCATTTATATTATGTGCATTGTCATAAAAGGTAATTATAGTTTATTTATGACATTATTTTAGATTATGTATTGATTATTTATTTTTTTGGATAATGAAAAATAAAATAAATAAATTATTCAAAATTAAGAATATTCAAAATTTATTTTTTTATTAATTGATTTTTAATTTCTTACTTATTATTGATTTTGATATTCATTAATATTGGATTCTGACCCCTAAAGGATATTACACATAATATTTCACTGTTTATTAGTTATGGTATGTGTCCCATGATAAGTACTTATTGCTAAGCACCAGGTCCAGTTCCAAATTTGAAAATAAAAGGTAAATAAAAATCTATACTAATATTTTATATTTAGCAGTAGAGTTTGTTTGATTGCACGCTCTAATCTCCGACACTACTGGGTCGAATTGGATTCTGATGAAATCCCAAACATTATGCTACGATCTAAGTAAAGGAGCCGAGTTGGTTATATTTCTGATTAAATGTATGAAAAATACAAAGTAAATCTTTTCAGAAACTTCAGTATTATTTTCTTATACATTTCTCACCTTCAAACTAATTACGTATTTATTTATTTCAGCTGTTAAAATTAATGACGAACTCTGTTAGAACCGTGAAATATTTAAAACAATGAAATCAATGATAAAGATGTTTTGCAATTTAAATTATATTCCTTGTACATTACGTGATTTGATTCGTTTGTCAGTTTGTTTGTTATTTCCTTTTAGCGTGTTAAAACATGTTAAGTAACTCTTGAATATTTTGTACCTCAGTGCCTTCCTTATTTTTTGTTTTAAAATATTTGGTTGACATTAAAGCAATAAAATAAAAGAAGACCTTCAAAATAAAACAATAGGTGTAACAAAATAAGATTTTTCTAAAACAATTTTAATCACCACAAAAAAAATGATACTAACTGATAGACATTATTTTAATAATTCTAAGAATAGCATTAAAATTCCCCTTCTGAAGAAGTATACCTAATATGACCAAACTTTCATTTTTAATAGTTATCTATAATTTTATTAGCACCTTTGGGAGAGTCCCCTTAAGTGTGGGAGAGCCATGCTTCGGCACGAATGGGTCGACTCAACCCGAGTGATACTACGGCCTCACAGAAAACCGGCGTGAAACAACCACGGCGTTGTGTTTTGCCGTGTGAGTGAGGTTACCGGAGACCCAATCCTTTCCGTCCCCCAATCCCTACTCAATCCTAAAATCTCCTAATCCCTAATCCCCAAAAGGTCGGCGACACACTCGTAACTACTCTGTCGTTGCGAGTGTCCATGGCCACATAAAAAACACCTAGAAAATAATATTGGTTTTTAGTACCATACTTTGGCACGAATGGGTCGAATTTACCGAAAAACAAACATGGTCTTACAGAAAACTGGCGTGTGAAAAACGGGATAATGCACTGCAATCCCGACTCGGAGCTGAAGAAGAAACCAGGGTGGTTTTAGTCACTCAGGAGCTGGGTGAGGTGAGAGGGCAGGAAAATTCATTTGACGACACAAATAGATAAATACTACTAGTTTAATACAATATCGACAACCCTTTACTAGCCAGTTAACCCCGTGACTGACGAGTTAGACTAGAATAACGTAGTACAAGCATTCCTATAGGTAACACAAGATGTCCCTGTGACAATAATCAGCATAATATCACAGTTGTTAATTACATACAGTTGTTCAAGTACATTAATAAGTGGGACGAATCTTGCTCCACATTTTATGCTAAATAGCAAATGATTGATTACATTTTGTGTCATTATCGAGCTGTACTTAATGACAATATAGACATTTAGTTAAGTTGATGTAAACATGGGCAAAATTATTTATGAAGGTTTAAGAGCTGTGATGCTTCAGTTGGAATAGGCAGTCTCTATTAGAGTTACTCTACAGCCTTATAGTACACCAGCGTGTTTCTATTGTGAGTGTAATTTACTCGTCCTGTCATTTGCCCTTCTCCTCCTCCCCTATCCCCAATTTCTCCAATCCTTTCCCCCCAAAAGCTTGTGTGGTGGTTGTGTATTGCTTGAGTGAGGTGACAGAAGAATCAGTGCTTTCCTACCCTTCCCTAATATTTGAATCCTCAACTTTCAAATCCCTAACGACTTCGAAAATGGCCGCAACTCGATTTAAACTTCTGTGATGTTATGGTCATCCATAGGTGAAGCTGATTACCATAAGATGATGCGTCTCCTAGTTTCCCGCTTTATACCTTGCGAAAAGGCTAACTACGCTCTTGTGACTCCTCGATGTTGTGGGTGGTCATAGGCGACGCCGATTACTTTAACTATCATGTAAGTGTTTCTTTCTTCTTTCTTCTTCTTTCCCTGTCATGTCATGGATACCCACAACAGAGAAGTTACGAGTTCGTTGCCGACCTTTTGTGGATTAGGGTTTGGAGATTTAGGGATTGGGCCTCCGGTAACCTCACTTACACAGCGAAACACAACGCTTTGGTTATTTTCCTTACCGGTTTTCTGTTAGGCCGTGGTATCACTCCGTTCGAGCCGACCCATTAGTGCCGAAACAGGGCTCTCCCACATTTAAATCTTATATCCCACAAAACAATCTACTTTTCATTAGTTATGATATGAGTGACATGTATAGGTACATTATTAGGTGAGAGCTTTTCTCAAGTCCTTGTTGTGTGTATGTGTGTGTTTCATAATAAAAATAGTAAGGCCCAATTACCACACTTGAACTTGTAGGAAAAGATCACAAAATATTTTTCGTAAAACTAAAATGTTAATGAATCATTGTATTTAAATGAATCAAATGTATCATTCGCATTGACATTCTGTTATCAGTTACCGGTAAACTTCCATTAGTAATGGAGGTAGATCGTTGGCCTCCGTGAATTGTATCGCGAAGGTTGGTGTGTAGGAGAAATAATATTGCTATATTTGACGATCACTATTTGAATTTGAATATTAAAATATAAAACCAAAAACACAAATAAATAATTGTTGGGGAAAAGAACTTGGAAAACTATTGAATTTTATACACAAACCAGAAATAGAAAAAGTCCTTACGAAAGAAAAAACAAGTATAAAAAATGGGGTAGTAGGTGCAAGCAATGATGTACCGGAGCCCATAGAAGAAGGAGAAGGAGCAGGGTGGTTTTTAGTCAGTATGTAAGAGTCTGACCCCACACAAACTAGAAGATATCATTTGATGAGTATAAACCAGCAAAAAAAATCCTGCAACTATCCCTTTCCTTTTCAGAAACGGAAGAAGCTCAAAACAAATGACCAAAAATTGTTCTTTATCACTTTGTCCTTCTACTAAAAATAGTCTTGTCAAAGTCGGAACTGCATTTGCGGAAAAGATTCGTTTGTTATGTGGGTGATAAAGAGGTGAGGTCGTTTGAAGGTGAAGCGTCTAGTTGGTAGTCTGGCCGCGCCCGCATTGAACTCAGAGTAGCATCACGGTGTGGACTTAAAGAGGTATGGCTGGTATAGTTATTCATTTGACCAGTAAGTAATAAAAGTTTTGAGATTGAGAAGCGTAGCATCAATGGCATATTGTATACCAAACGTTTTTGGGAAAGCTTTCAGTCATACTTACTTACACGGCGGAACACAACGTTGTAGTTGTTTTACGCTGGTTTTCTGTGGCCGGCCGTGGTACCACTATAGTTGAGCTGGCCCATTCGTGCACATCTGATGATATGATGATATCGTGATGATGATGATAAGCCTCGTAACTGTTGCAGGTCATTCGATTGTCAGATGTGGAAGTCGTTAAGGAAAATCCATGTCTAAATCAAAGTTCAGTTAAACGGTGAAATGATAAATAATTATTAATATTGTTCCTTGACAATTTTCTTTTTGGTAAAAATTCCTTTCAAATAAAAAGTGCAAAAATGTTAATTGCCTTTATTAACAAACTCGAATATGACGTATTGTTTTGTTCTAGGTATAAAAATTTGCAATCACGAAAATTACAATTTAGAAGATAATTTAATTTACAATAGAGTAATGAAATGCCATTCAATAAAAATTACGCTGCCAAACAATAAACAGAATTTCATAACAAGAGCTAAAAATAAGCCAAACAGTGTTTATGAGAAGAAAAAAATAAACAACGCAATGAATGTAATAATGATTCCATTTGTAAAGTAAAATAAAATTCATACACTTGAAGTGAGTTTATTGCTAAACAAAAAGGTTATAAATAAATAACCTTATCAACCATATTTAGTTCAGAAACTCGTAAATTTTGTTTACGGTATCATTGCCGTACAGAATTTAACAAAAAGAATTAGGTTAATCCTCCAATGAAGGA